GGAAGTGGATCAGCTGGGTCTCAAACCAGTGCGCATATGGGATACCAGCACCAAAAACAGAAGCTTAGCCTACTGTACCATGGCATTGGCCCCATTCTCTTCATTTTGAATGGAAAGGTACTTCTCGGTCTCTGTTTCTTTCAGACCTTCTTTTTCCATACAAGTGTATATAAATATTTATAAAGGATAAGTAAGATCCTTTCCAGCCTCACAACTGAGAACATTTCCTTAAGGACTGGGATCGTTTTGAAATGCAGATACCAAAGAAAACAGCTTCCCTTTCCTACAGTTTCAGTGGAAAAGTAACAGCCTTATTTTGATAGGTACCCTGTTCCAATTAACAAAATTACCTCCTTTCATAGACAGGAGAGGTTTGCCCTTCCTCTGGATAAAGCCCAAATAAGCTAAAAAAAAAAAATCAGTCACTTCACTTACCAGATAAAGTTAGCATGAACTATTGCGATGTGATGTGTGATGTGCTTTGGGCTATAAAAGAGGGTAAGATTCCTTCTTTATCCATATAATCTCTCGGTAGATTTTTCTAGTCCAAAGTATATTCAACAATAAAACTGTTTTCTTTCTGTAGCACTTTTGCAGCGAAGTTTTCTGTGTTGAGAGAAGACTTTGTTTTTAATTATATTTCTCCAGCAATAACCAGTATGTACGTTTTTTTTCAACATGGAACCAGGGGAGTACAAAATCATGGAAAGATGTTTTTGAGCCTGCAGTTATTAAATACAATGAGCTGTTTGGACCACCAGTGTTACTATTGTATATTACCAGATGCATAGTCCTGGCATCCACCATGCCTATAAGATCTGAAGTACTTTGTCTACAGAGGGGGAAAAAGAGCTCCTTGTTGATGCCCAGGGAAAAGCAAAGGAAGATGGCCCAACCACAAAGGAGACCTGAACCAAGTTCCTGGCTCCTGATTGCAGCCCGTAGGGGATGAACCAATGGATGGAAGATCTCTCTTGTCTCTCCCTTTCTCTGTAACTCTTTCAAAACAAATAAATAATTATATCTTCTCTTTTAAAAAGAGATTGTTACTTCTCTTAAGTTTCCAATTTCTGAAAGAGACAGAAATTAGAAGACTTTTTTAATGTGTCATGTTTGGTATTTGACTCAGCAATCAAGATACTTCCTGTGACACCTGCATCTCATATTGCAGGGTCTGTGTTTGAATCTCATCTTTGCTCCCAATTCCTTCTCCTGCTAATGAACACCATGGAAGTCAGCCCATGATGGGTCAAGCAGTGGGGTTCCAGCTGCTCATGTGGGAAATTCAGACTGAGTCCCTGGATCTTGGCTTCCACTGGACCCAGCCTGGCTGTTATGGACATTTGGAGAATGAATGTGAAAGATATTCATTCTCTCTCTCTTCCACCATTCTGAATCAATAAATACACAAGTAAATAAATGTATATGAATTGTCTAAAATGTTTTCTGGAACAAACACACAATCTGTCTAAGCAGATATTGAGCATGTAATAGGAACATCTCACCCTCGATGGCACCTTTCCAATCCCTGGACACTGAGCTCCATGACGCCAACCTCTGTGCTTCCACAGATCTTCGTTCATGGTTCATGTACCATTTATCCCAGTTTGCTTATGTTTAATTAAAAGATAAATTTAGATAAATTACCTGAGTAATTAATAGTTCTCCCCTTCCAGATTTAAAACACCTGAAAATAAGAAATACATTCCTTTGCAAATTTCCTTCTGGACTCAGGAGAGGAGCTTTTTCTGATCCTTACTAAGTTCCAGCTTTGGCTCCCCATCCTCTCTGGCAATGACCATTGGAGTTGCTCAGGTGCCCCAAAATTAGCTCAGATAGACAGAGAGAGACTAATATGTAAAGTTTTGAATAGACAGGAAGAAGTCAGCTGGCCTGTAATTGCTCAGCCTGTACCTTACTGGTCAAGCTCCCAATTTGGCCTTTCCTAGACCTCACTAGATAGGACGTAGAGTTCAGTTATTCCTCACTTGCTAAGTTATTGGGGATTTCTCTGCTTACCTGCCTAAGACTGATCTACTCTTCAATTATTAATATATGGCTTGTTAGAGTTATAAGACTGCTTTGGTTGCCCCAGAGTGCATGAAGTTCTGTAAAATCTTGCTTGAATACTATAAACTGCTAAGTTTAAGTTTAAAAAAAAGAAATGCATTCTTCATCCTCTTATCTCGCACAGCATATTTCACTGTGTATTGCACACAATAGGGATATCTATAGGCAACTGTGTTGAATTGCATTATATATTTTTAGAATGACTTATCCAGGCTTCAAAAGCAAAAATTCCTTTTGGTATAAGAATGAAAAGACTTAGAAGCAGAAGAGTGACTTGCCATACTGTAAGTAAAATGTACCCAGCCTATGCCTTGGATTATAATTGATTTTCTCTAAGCTTTGCTAAGGAAAAACAGACTGAACACTAATTGTGTTGAATAAATATGTCTCAAAAGCTGCAGCCTTCAGGGGTTGGTGTTGTGACACAGCAGCAGCCAGCATTCCATATAGGCACCTGTTGATGTCCCAGCTGCTCCACTTTCAATCGAGCTCCCTATTAATACATCTGGGAAAGCAGTAGAGGATAGCCCAAGTGCTTGGGACCCTACATGCATATGGAAGATCCAGAAGAAACTCCTGGACCTTGGTTTCCAACTGGTCCAGCCTTAGTCATTACAGATGTTTCGACACTGGGGCATTGGATGAAAGATCTCAATCTCTCCCTCTCTCACTTTGTAACTCTGTCTTTCAAATAAATAAATCTTTTCAGAAAAAAAAAATGTAGCTGTCAAAAACAAGTAAAACATCAAAAAATTCATCATTACTCAAAATCATCAATACTATTAGCAAACAAAATGCACAAATATCAGTTATAATAGTATTGCACAGCAAAAACATTATGGTCTGGAATGTGACATTTAATACAAGTGCACTTACATTGTTTCCACAGAAACTAAAACCTGAATGAATGAATTATAAAAAAAATGTACAATGACTTTGAGATGTTTCATATAAGATTAACAAACGTTACATTTCCCATTACATTTTTGGCAAAAAAAAAAAAAAACGAAGAGTTAATCTTAGAACAGATTAAAAACCAGGGACAAGCATGATAGCTCAACCTACTGATCGTCCTCCTATAAGTGCTGTCATCCCATATGAACTCTGGTTCATGTCCTGGCTGCTCCACTTGCCATCCAGCTCCCTGCTTGTGGCCTGGGAAAGTGGTAGAGAATGGCCCAAAACCTTGGGACCCTGTACCTATGTGGGAAAGCCAGAAGAAACTCCTGGCTCTTGGCTTCAGGTCCTCTCAGTTCTGGCCACTGTGGCCATTTGGGGAGTGAACCAGCAGATGGAAGATCTGTCTCTCCTCCCTCCTCCCTGTAAATCTGCCTTTCCAATAAAAAAATAAACAAGTTTACTCTGATCTTTAATCCTTTATTTTGAGGCTAAGACAACCCAAAGTCAAACTTCAACAGTAGAAAGTACAAAGTTATTAGTGATACAAATGTTAACAAACATTGTTTTTAATTCTTTAAAAATTAAATGGCAAAGTGGGAGAGGTTTAAAAAAGAAAAGAAGCCTGTGGCTAGAGACCAGGATTAAGTTTGCTATAGCTTTAGACAGTCACCAAATTACTCTCCAAAGCTTTGTCTCATCCCTGCACTACAATAACAGGAGAACCAGAGGCACACAAGAGGGAAGACACCCAGAGTAGTCAGGAGAGATGTTTCAGAGGAAGCCAAGTTGTCAATAGCTTAATTTGGGACTTCCAGACTCCAGAATTTTTATGAAAATACATTTTGACCCTATGAACCACCCAACCTGCGGCATTTTGTTATGCGAGTCCTGTATTTTAAAAAGTATCGAATCTTACTCCATATTCCTTGCCACTTAACGTTATTTACCTGCCATTTTTCTTCATTGTGGATTCTGTCTAAAGACTTACTATTAGAATGAAATGATACTGATCATAAACCATTGTGCCAGATGTCTCAAGGTTGTGAGTGCTGTACAAATGATGGCTGCAATAATGACCATTGATCCCATACATTTATCTAGACGAAATTACTAACAGCGTTTACCTTTTAGCGTTTTACCTCTTTACAAGGCCCTCAGCCTTTGGAGATCCCAAAGCTACCCGGAGGGCAGAGTCCCAGCCTCCTGCGTTCCTTAAGCTGACTGCTGAGTGACTCCAGAAGCAGTGGTCAGCTGAGTCGGGACCCGCGGGAGTCGTTCGAGGTGCTGGCTGCAGCGCGCACGGGAGCCCAGCCGGGCTGCTCAGCCGATCCTGAGCAAGCTGCCCGCCCCCACTCTGCCCGTCAAACCCACGGGGAGGTTGAATGACAGCTACAACAGGTGCAGCACAGCGCCCGCGGCTGCTCAGGACGAGTTGGGCGCGTCAGGTCCTGATGGCCAAAGTTTAAAACAGCCTTGCTCGCCTTTGCACCAGTCTTCGGAAGGGCCCCCTCAACAAGCTTCTTTGCTTTGAGGTCACCTCGAACTCGCCAGTCCCGGAGGAGTCTTGCCTCTCGGAAGCAGAGAAGGCAAGGCGTGCGGTACATGGAGCTTTGCTTTAGCGCTAGCTGTGTCGTCGCCAGCCACCCGAGAACAGAAGTGAGCGGTCCCAGAACCAAGCCCTCGATCAGCACCTTCCCACGCCCGCTCGGACTTGAGGCACGCGCTGTCCGAAACGTCCCGCCTAGGCGAAGGGAGGCACAGCCGAAACCCGCCCGCCCGCGTCCCGCCGCGGCTTGCGGCGCCCGCCCGCACTGCGGTCCCGCGGCGACGCCGCCGGCCCCTCCCCGCCCCCCAGGTGGCGAGTTCAGGCCCCGGGTGACAAGCCTTGCCGCCGCTGCCGTCGCCGCCGGGGGACAGTCCCAGCCGGGAAACGTGGTGTTGCTTCCTGGGTGGGAAGGTGCCTTCAAACTTTATAGAGTTCTGTTCCTTCCTCCGCGCTCCCCTGCCCTCCCCTCCGCCCCCCACTTCGAGAAGCCGAGAAGATGGAGACCGAGTCCGGGGCGGTGAGTATGGCGATCAGGGGCCCGGGTGCTGGAGTGGCGGGGACCAGGAGCGGCATGAACCCCATCTTCCCAGGAACTGGAAAGGCGAGAGTTCCAACTCCAAACCCTATTTTGTTGGAGGAAGAAACGTGGCCCTGGTGTCCCATCGACCGCCACGACCAGCCGGCCACCTTCAAGCCCCATCAGATAGTGCTGTGGGGTCGGGACGGTGCCCACCGGCCACCTGGCCTGGAATGGTTGTAGGCGGGATGGGGGACCCTCGACAAATGGCCGGGAGGCTTCAGGACAAGCGCTGGCGGTGTCCCGGCAGGTAAACCGCTTTCCCGCCGAAAAAAAAAAAAAAAAAAAGCTAAAATGAGCTCCCGGCTGCGTCTTTGACGCTTGCTCCTGCGGGATTCCACTCCGGCCGCCCATGACCAGGAATTGTCGGGGCGGTCGACGCCTCGACACCTCGACACCAGAAGGGGACCGACGGGCCCGAGAGACCCGAGGGACAAGGGCAGCCTGTGGTCCACGTCGGACCTGGACGCGCTAGGCTCGGCTAGCACGGGCCGCACGCCCGAGCCAGTCAGGGCCGGATCGGGCCGGGCGTGAGCGGAGCGCGGCGGCTCAGGTCCGAGGGGCCACGGCAACGTGCCGCCGCGCCCCGCCCACGCCCCGCCCCGCGCTTCGCCGCCAGCCAATCGGCGCGCGCTACGACGAGGGCGCGAGGCCGGCGGCGCACGCGGCGGACGGCGGGCTCGGTACCGTTGAGGGGTTCCCGCCACTGCTGCTGGCGGGTTTGCGGGGCAAAATTTCTCGCTGGCTGGCTTTCTTTTCCCTCCCGCACTTTGGTGGGGAGGGGGTGGACCCTCGCGTCACTGCCCAGGTTCACGATGACCCGAGAGAACCCGAGGAAGTTGCCGCGGCCTTTTCCCCCAGCGCCTCAGCTTGCTGGCCTCGGAGGGGACGGAGCTACGAGGCTGTGACAGCGACGGTTAGCCCGCCCTGGTCCCCGGCTCTGGGTTAGGGGAGGAGGAGGGGGCAGAGAGGGCGCGTTACTGTGGAGGAGACTTGAGCGGAACACCCTTCTCACCCAGTAGTGGCCCGCCCTGCCTAAGTGCTTCCGTGATCCACTCTGAGGCTCCTGGGGTTGTTTAACCCGAGTGGGTCTATAACCTTAAATAAGGAACAAAGATCTTACCTCTCCTTGAGCTTTGGTGCTGCCCACATTAAAATATTTTCGAGGCCATTTTTTTTTCATACTGTTTTCCATCGGCCTGATGGCTATATCGTGAGCCGATCACTCCAAAAGAAATCATTCATTCTTTTTTTTTTTTTTTCATTCAACAAATGTTCGTTGAACACCTGCTATGAACTGTTCACTCCTTTAGAAAAAGGCCACATCTTGCCCTTATGGCCATTGTTACATTATATTGGCAAAAGATAATAAATGTGTGTATAATGTGTTTGAAAATAAGTAATCAGAACAAAAACAAAGCACTTGGAGCACGCCTTAGATTCTAGAGAATGAAGTAAGCCAAGTAAAAAGTTGATGTACTGTTTTTCCCAGTGGGTGTGCTTTCGTTTTTCAGTGACTGAAGAAAGTATTCTGTTCACTTTATTCGTTTCATCCTCTCAGTGAAATATATTGGAATTTGTCTCTTAAACACACTTGAGAACAAATCAATTCCAACATTGACTATTTTTTTAAGGATGATAATTTCCCAAGGACTGGTGTTTTTGTTTTTTGTTTTGTTTTAAAACAAAAAGGTCAGTAATACAAGCAGTAAGCAGTGGACCCAGAGCCATCTGCTGGAGCTGTTAGTCACTAACAATACACCAGCATCCAGGATCATGTACTTTGCGCACTGTGCCCTATTGAGTAAAATGGAGTTAGAAATAACCTCCAAGTCTCCAGAGAGAAAACTGTTAACGGAATTGTAACTGGAAACAACAGCATAATAACTGCTCAGTGTGGTGGCTTACCTGTGGTTTAGAAGAATTTACATTCTCATAGTAGGGGGACATGCATGTGTTTCCCCTCAACAGTGGAAGGGGATGAGAGGCTATAAAGTCTGGTCAGTAGCTCAGCAGTCACACTGGTCTTGTTGTTTCTCCATCTTTTTGGGAAAAATTAAGGATTGTGGTTTTATTGGGTATTGAAGTAAGAGCAGCACCAGTACCGATCTTGGAAATTTGGTTTTTTGTTTTGTGGTGAACTGGAATCATGGTTCAAACATTTAGAAGAAACATTCATTGAGTATGTTTGCAGTGTGGTTAGTGTTTGTTGGAGGCAAATACGTTCTTGAATTTGTTTCTCTTTAAAATTCTATGCCCAAGACTTGTTTTCAGTTGTGCCTTGAAAGTCTGTTATCTTCCCATTGTGCAAACACACATTAGTATGTATTTATTAAACCTTAAGTCTTCAGACTTAGAATCATGAACATCTTGATGTGTGCTGTGATCGAATCTTTGGTATAAAAATTTATACTGATTTGGTGTAGTTAAATCTTTTACACCGTAAATCCTGAAATTGACAAGTACATGTAATATTTTGACTTTCAAAGAAAAAAAATGGTTAACGTGAATGTAAGCATTTATTAATGCCTCCTGGAACACCCCTATAGTTCTATTATGTTGAGTCTGTAGGTTGTAGGAGCAAGAATGCATTCCATGGAGGCCTCTCAGTGAGAGTGCGCTAGAAAGAACTTAACGGGATTTGGCTTGTGTGACGCAATTTTTAGCATCTAAGGAAGAAGAGATTTGCTCGAGAATGCATGTTGTCCAAAAAATAGGAGTATTTCTATGCTTATGATAATTTATATCTAAAATGGAAGGAAAATGGGTCATCAGCTGCAAGTGATGAACAAGGACCAATCATTCACTCATCCACCAGGGCAGGAAGACGTCCGGATATGATGGTTTGGGCAGTGCTTTTATTTTTGTTGACTTCAGACATCATGATGGAGTTATTCTCCTACTCCATCACAGCTGCGATATGACCTTGTCTGATATTGGTGTTGTGTTAACAAGAAAACACCACTCGCTTTCCATGTACTAGGCCAGTTCCTAACAGTACCATCACCTTGTTGGTTGTGCCAGGCTAGCTCACAGCCACTTGGGACTCCTTTTCTCTTTCTTATTTAAAGGTTTAATACTCCTCAGTAATTAAATAATATAAACTAGTAACACAAGTTTATTTAAATAGTGTATGTAGTAAGGTCTTCTCAAAAGTGGAGATTTTTTTTCCTGTATTTTTTGTTACCCCAAGTTCTAATTACATTCTTCATAACATTAGTGCCTAAGTGACTCATTTTTGAATTGTGTTTTCAGCCTGCATCAAAACTGAAAGTACTAAAAGCTTAAAAGAGTTTTGTTTTACAGCAAACATCAAACCAGACGCAAACAGATTCGTTATCTCCATCCCCTAATCCTGTGTCACCTGTGCCTTTGAATAACCCAACAAGTGCCCCAAGATATGGAACAGTGATCCCTAATCGCATCTTTGTAGGAGGAATTGACTTTAAGGTACTTACTTATATATGCAACATAGTACGTTTTTGCTTTAGAAATTATTTTCTCAAAAATTATTCCCTCAAGCAACTAGAAAAACATTTATGTAATGGTCCGCTGATTTTAAATTGCCTTAAAGAATCTTTTCAGTAGAGCACATATAATTGTCCAGCTTCCCAAATGAAGAAATTGATGCTGATGGTGTTACAATGGCTCATAGCCTATAGTAACACAGTGGAACTAGTTTCCAAATTTCTGATTTATGGCTCCTTTTCTTTACATCACCAAATTTTACTAATTATCATTTCTTCTATTATATTCCACTAGCCCAAATAATGGATGATAATTCTCCAAAAAAGAATCAATTTTTTTTAAAAAGGAAAACTTTGATTTTATCCCAACTTTTATCTCAGGTTTTTGAGTAACCCCCTTAGACGTCCATGTTTTGCAAATTTCTTTCTGTGATAGTTTTCAAATTTGATAACCAAAAATGCCCTGTTTCGTGGTCAGGATAAAACATTTTAATAATGTGTTAATATAACATAACCAGCCATTTACCTCTTTCGGAGAAGCAGTTTATGAAATGATTCATATTGCAAAGATGTTACCATTGGAATTATAGGCGTAAATCTCTCTTTTTAACAAAAAAATTTCTATCCTATTAGATATTTGATATATAAATAACTCACTATATATAATCATTCTATCACAGAGTAAAATTATTTTCTCCTAGTTAATAGCAATGTAGCACTTATTGTATTTGCAAAGATAGTTGATCTTAAGTATTGCTTCACTAAAATAAAAACTATTTCTGATATAAAATATTTACTTTAAAAAATATGTTCTGTGTCTGTGGAGAACACTAATGGCTGACCTTAAATATTCCATTTGGATATCCTTTTACAGAGTTATATTACAACAGCTCAGTGTGTGTTTTTTTTTAGCTTAGTGTATTTTTAAAAATAAATCATCAGTAAATAAAAACATTTGAACAGTCAGTTATCCTAGATTCCCAGAGTCCATCATTCACAATTTGAATTTTGAAAGCCTTAGGTAAAATGTAATCGTAACTTTAAAGCAGCTACTAAAGGTTTCCGACTTTATGTCCACACCTTTCCAAAAGCATAGATAAATGCCAACAAGGAAATAGTCTATGGTTCTATCAAGCAGTCTCAGACATTTGTGTGTGAATTATACTTTATACAGATTTATCTATTTATTTGAATGTCAAAATTAGATCTTCATTCATTGGTTCACTCCCCAGATGGCTGCAAAGGCCAGGGATGGCCCAGGCTGAAGACAGCAGCCAAGAGCATCTTCCAGGTCTCCCATGTGTAGGTAACAGGAACCCAAGCACTTGGGCCGTCTTCCACTGCTTTACCGACCTTTAGCAGGGAACTGGGTCGGTCGTAAAACATCTGGGACACAAACCTGAGCCTACATAGAATGCTAGCCTTGCAGACAGTGGCTTAACCAGCTACCTCACAATGCCAGCCCCAGTCTCAAGACATTTTAAACCTTATAGTTTAGAAAAGTACAGACTGTCACTCTTAATGAAGAGTCATCTCAAATTGTATCTAGCACAGTAGCAATATTGAGCTAATTCTTCAACAAGGCAATAGTTTTGTTTTCAGATCTCTAACAACAAATCTTTTCTATCACAGATTCTGTTTTCTTTGTACCAAATAAGACATTCACTGACTTCAGATTAGCTCAGTATTTGTCATCATCCAGTCTAGCAGTGAGTAGTGGGGGTGTAAGCAGTGAAGTAACAGCTGCACTCTAAAGGCTGTGCTATAAGCCAAGCCATGTCTTCTATCTAGAAAATATTTTTTCTATGGAAATTTGAAGTTATTCTCTCTTTTTTAAAGATTTATTTTATTTTTATTGGAAAGGCGGATATACAGAGAGGTGAGACAGAGAGGAAGAATTTCCGACCATTGATTCACTCCCCAGGGGGCCGCAACGGCTGGAGCTGAGCCATTCTGAAGCCAGGAGCCTCTTCCGGGTCTCCCACGCGGGTGCAGGGTCCCAAAGCTTTGGGCCGTCCTCCACTGCTTTCCCGGGCCACAGGCAGGGAGCTGGATGGGAAGCAGGGCTGCGAGGATAGAACCGGCGCCTATATGGGATCCCGGGCGTGCAAGGTGAGGACCTTAACCACTGCGCCATCGCGCAGGGCCCTAAAGTTATTCTTAAAAGCAGTATAGATGAACCAAGAACATGATGTTGCAGTAAATTTAGCGTGAATATTCTGGAGAAAGTTTATAATCTGTCATCAGACAGTTTCAATTAAATATTCCAGGGCCAGTATAGTGGCATTGCATGTTAGCAGGCTATACCTCTGCCTGTGGTACCAGCATCCCATACAGATGCCAGTTCAAATCCCAGCTGCTCCACTTCTGATCCAGCTTCCTGACTATACCCTGGGAAAGCAGTAGAAGATGGCCCAAGGCCCAGGGCCCCCAAGTGGGAGACCCAGAAGAAGCTCCTGGCTCCCAACTTCAGGCCAGACCAGACCAGATATGGGGAGTGAACATGGAAGATCTCTCTGTGTCCCTCCTCTCTCTCTGTAACTCTGCCTTTCCAATAAAAATAAACCTTTAAAAAAGCAAATATTCCTAAACCATTTTTGTACATCTTATCCGTTCTAATTATAATCCTAGTATTTGAGTAGCATGATAATGCCTATATGTGACTAAAATGTACATGAATACAAATAAAGTAGTAACTATTTATTTGAGAGGTAGACCTGCTTAGAAGTCCCCATCCCCTTGTTCTCTTGCCAAATGCCCCAACAGCCAGAGCTGAGACAGACCAGAGCCAGGAACTCAACTCAGTCTCCCACATCAGTGGCAGATTTCCAACTGCTGAGCCATCACCAGCTGCCTCTTAGAATACAAATTAGCAGGAAGGTGGTATTGAAAGGTGAATCCAGGACATGAACCTAGACTTTTCAATATGGATTGCAACTGTCCCAACCTGTGCATTAAGCACTATACCAAATACCTGCACCAATATCTGCTAACTTATTATAAGCATTATAATCACTGGATTGCTACTACAGGTTTACTTCAAGTATTTTCAGAAATATTTTTTTTTTCCTAAAGACCACACTGATGATAGTAGTGTGACATGTAGCCCAACATACCCTCTTTCCTCTGCTGTGAGTGTCAGCCTTTCTCAGCTGTAAGAGCCAATAGTAATAGGTCTTTACCATGGCCACAACATGGTATTTTTAACCTTAAAAAGAAAGCTTTCTTTGTCAGTTTAAAATAATTAAGCTTAAAATTTTTATTTACATAAGATAGTTTAACAACATAACTACATGCAATATTTTGGTTATACATATTCATAGCTGTCTGCAAATTAACCATGAGTTGTTTATTAGTCAATTAAAATGTTCTAATATTTTCTTTTATCCTGTTAGACTAATGAAAATGATTTAAGAAAATTTTTTTCCCAATATGGGTCTGTGAAAGAAGTGAAGATTGTAAATGACAGAGCTGGAGTGTCCAAAGGGTTAGTATCAATACAGATAGTATGCAGAATTTCTTTTGGATTGCTGAGTTTGCTAATTTTGCTTTGATTCTATTTCAACAGAGGATTCCATGCCCTGTTTTCTCCTGAACCTTTTCATCCATCTTGGAAAGCAATAAAGGATTGAACAGAGGGGAGACACTGTAGCATTTCTTGTTAGGAAGTTATTCTTCCATAAGCTGAGGGTCCATCCAATGTTAAGCAGCAAGACTTTAATGTTGAAAAGCAAATAAAGACTTGCAAAAGAACCAGAAACTAAAGAAATCCAATTCCTTAGAAATTATATTTCTGCTTTATAATATAGAGAGCTTTTTTAAGAACTGTTAGCTTTAATCCATGTAGATTTTGTCTCAGATGAGAATAATATATATGGGAGATGTAATTCTAAATGAGAATGATTTAAAATTGTCATATCAAAAAGAATGAAAATTGAGAAGAAAAGCATGGAACACCTGGATATGTGGAGATTTGTGTGTACAAAAGCCAGATTTCAGAGAGAAAAAAAATATAGTTTGGTTAGTGTACTCACAGAAGAGTTGCAAAGTTAAATATAAGTCAGTCGGGAGTATCAATAGAAGATTATGTTTGTTTTCTTTGAAGAGAGGCAAAGCGTATTAACAGGCCTAAAAAAAGGGAGCAGTGAAGTGAGTAGAAACTGTATTAGAAAAAGCATTTAAGTGTAATGGTGAATACTTTGGAAAAGATGGGATCCTAACAAGAAGACATTTTCAAACAGACTTGATACTTCCTCGTAGTTCCAAACAATGTTGAGATGAAGTGGTTATTTTATCTCCTATTTAGCTAACAAAATTTGCAATATTTTGGTAATGTCTACTATCTAATCATTAAAAGAAAACACACATGGAAACAAATTGTATTTTATGCCCTTTCCACTGGGTGGTGTAAGTGTTCTACCAAATATTTAATGTTAAAATAATTCCTTAACTCTTGATTAATGTTAGAGAAAGAGAAACTTTATATACAACATAGTAATTATGAACTAAAGAAGATGGTACACATGATATTTAACATTGCTCAAAAAGTTTAAATAGAAATATATGAAAAATAAATAGAAATAGATGCTTTGGTAAATTGACTTTTTGCTTTTTCCTTGTTGAATTTTAGGACATGTTATGCATGTATTTGTATTTGTATTTTGAACATTGTATGAATTGTACATCAAGGTAACTATCAAATGAAAAACGGATCTAAACTTTGAAGTTGCACAAGTTTTACTTGATATTTAGGAAATATACTAATTATAATTTTATATGTGTTACTGTTAAATAAGGCAGTTATATAGTCATTTACCAATTTAAGTGATATTTTATCAAATTTTTAAATTCTTCAGTCTTTCTCTACTTAGATTCCATCATTCAAGCTACACTTGTATTATTTTAAAGGAGACTATTGCTTTGGACTGAAAACTGTAATCCAGAACATTTCCTTACTTACAGCTCAGAGATGAAGTGTTTGATGATCTCTGGCTTATTTTTTCTTTTGTTAGCCCTCTTACTCTTAGAGAAGCTGATAGGATTGAGCTGAATGGTTCTCCTGTGATTCTTTTTCTGTATGCATAGAAAAATGCATATTCCTACAGTGGCCCATTCTTTTAAAACATTAATTTAGCCTAACTAATGTCATGTCCTGAGAAAACAATTAATGGTAATTAAATACATTTATTTAGGTATGGCTTCATCACTTTTGAGACACAAGAAGATGCACAAAAAATTTTACAAGAGGTAAGATCTTCTGATATATCAATTTCACTTTTAGAACGCTTTTTAAGAACTTTTTTCTGAAAACTAACCCCTGAAGGTGTTTATTTTTCAACTAGAGTTCAGTTATAATGATCAGTTGCTAAAAATGAATCTTGATTTGCTTGTATCTTAAGAATGGCATTAGGGGCCAGAATTCTGCTGCAGTGGGTTAAATCACTGCTTGGGACACCTGCATTTCAGAGTGCCACCTGCTCTGCTTCTAGTCCTGCTTCCTGCTAATACATCTGGAAGGCAGTGGAATATGTTGCAAGTATTTGAGCCCTTCTAAGTTTTATATCCTTCTGGGAAATCAGGTTGGAGTTCCTGACTCCTGTACTCAGCCTGACCCAGATCTGTTTTTTCAGCTCTTTGCGAAATGAACCAGTGGATGGAAGGTTCTAATGTTTTTTTCTGCCTGCCCCTTTCTTCCTTTCTTCCTCTTCCCTTCCTTTTCTCCCTCTCCTCATCTCTTCTTCCCTAACCCTCTTCTCCATTTCTTTCTCTCTGTCACTCGGCCTTTTAAATAAATGATTCTTTATTAAAAAATGCAAGAAACTGTCTATAGCAGAACAAATGTCAAATCATTACATGAGCAAGGTTGTCTAAAGTTGTAATACCAATTTCCTATTTATTTTTGCTTAAGTTAAGAGCTTAGTGATACAAAGGGTGCTTTAGCAGTTCTTAGAAAGTATGCGCTATCCTTTTAATTTTTCATTTGTTCAGAAAGTATTTCTCACCCTTGGTTCCCTCTCCAAATATCCACAACAGGTGGGGCTAGACCAGGCTAAAGCCAGAAGCAGGAACCCCATACAGGTATCACTGTGGGTCACAGGGACCCATTTTCCTGAGCCATCATCTAAACCATATTGGGGTTTGTATCAGCAGGAAGCTGGAACTGAGAGTAGGACCAGGACTTAAACCAAGATACTCGGACATGGGCTCTAGGCATCCCAAGCAGCATCATAACCAATACACCAAATGCCAGCCCTTGCACTCTTTTAATTGCATTTTCCATGAAATTACAGAAGTATTTTTTGTGAGCTGTTTATGCATTTTGCATTCCTAAAAAAAAATTCTGTAAGCAAACATCCCTAGAATGTGATTATCTGAAGTTATTATTTCCCTTACATGAAACACATTATGCATATAAGCAAATAGCATTCATAGACGTCTATATAGCTTGTAGTACTGTGGTAGTTCAGTGTAATGACTTAAGTTATGACAATAACATTTAATTTTTCTCAAACATAGAATTGCATATTATTAAAATCATGTACATCTAATTCTTGTTATGTGTACCAGTTGTGTTCGATAGAGTGGCCACAAATACTGAATTAGTAAACACTGAGCTGTTCCTAGAGAAATTACAGGTGAGGCTTTGAAAACTGTTGGTCACAACACTGGAGTTAACCAATTAATGCGTAATCTTGTGTGTGTTTCTATCTACAGGTAGAAAATTTAACAGTTTGTTAATTCTTAACATTGAACTCACAGCCAATAGCACTAATTCCTGAATTAGGCTTGTCTAACACAGATTTTGTCCATAAGACATATGATAATCTTGTGCTTAGGATCACTAGCCAGTGCTTCAACTCTGCATTTGGGGATCATTTTAAATAGTAAAATCCCCGATAACAACAAAAAAATGTGAAAAATGTGCCAATACATAAAATGTGAAATGGACACATATGCATTGAGAAAGCTGAATCACAACATTGCCTTGTATAGCCTTAGCTGGAAATATGCATTCAAGCTATTCAAACTTTTGGCCAGTCTGACTAAATCTTTTGGTAGTCCCAAATCACCGTAAGTATTGGTTTTGGAGTTTTAGAAAATAGACAAATTCACAAATACAAAATTCATGAATAATAAAGTGTGACTGTGTTTAAAAAGAAGAAGAAAGGAAGGAAAAGCATTAAAATCAAAATTTAGACTCAGATCTGTTTGAATTGAAAGAGTTGGTCCATTTACATAAGCATTATTTCTTTCAAAAATCGCTGTAGCCTGAATTTTAAAACTCGATAATTTTCCATATTGATTTTATAAGTAATTAATAATCCTGAAATAATTTGTATTTTCTTTGCTTTAGGCTGAGAAACTTAATTACAAGGATAAGAAACTGAACATTGGTCCAGCAATAAGAAAACAACAAGTAGGGATCCCTCGTATGTATTAAGAACTAATGTATTTTTCTTTTTTGAAATGTTGTCAAGTTTTAGGAAAGTTTATTGAAATATGTTTTTTTTATTTTATAAGTTATTTTAGCAAAGTTGCTGGTCAGATGAATATGAGGGATTTTCATGGAAAATACCATGAAATAACTGCACAAATTTCAAAGTAAATTTAATCCTTCAATTAAAGTTCTCCATGAATTTTTAAAGTATCTTCATATTTCATGTTGCAGTTATATATCATAATGTTTTTGCCTAGGCATACATGTGCATGTAGCTTAAGTATATTTCATACATGTACATCTTTCTTATGATCTATTTTTATTTGAAAGCAAATTACAGAGAGAGCAGGAGAGACAGATAAAGAGATCTTCCATCTGCTCAAACCAGCTCCTCTATGAGCTGCTGGCAGCACAGGCTGAGGTTTAGCCATACTACCCACAGTGCCAGCCTTATAGTTACATCTTTAAAGCATAAGTCTTTTCCCAACTAAAATATTTAATATAATGAAAATTATTAGAATTGATAATTACTAGCTAGAAAATTTTCTAATCAGAAAAATAATTTCAAATAAAGTAAAAATGCTGAAAAATTGTAGAAATAATATAAAACTGTATTGCCATGTACTGTAACCTAAATTAATGTATCATAATTATCAGAGGGAACAATCCCTGAAGCTTTAAGAATTACCTTCTGTAATGCTTTCAATTCTATTCCTTTTTTCTCTCTTCCTGTGTGTTAAACTGAGCAACCTTGCAATTATAATTATTAAAATCTTGACATCTTTGGCTAGAAGGAAACATGTCACATAAAATTTGTAACTAATTTTTCTCACTTTTCCTTAGCCACATCATAGTGTCTTCTAAGATATGTACAATATTATGTGGTTATGAATCATCTATTAATAAATTCATAAGTTGTGTGCATTTGAATTTTTCTTTTAACTTAGAAATTAACAGATAGTATATATTTTAAGTTAATGTCCATTAATTTAGGAGTGACCAAAATATAAAATGAAATTACTAAATATGACAGAATGCTATGTATTTTCAGACTGCTGTTATTAACCTATAACATGCAGTAATGGTTCTTTAGCCCATTATAATCAACAGTTAAGTACTAAAAAACTAATTGCCAAAACAGAAACTAAATCAGTACAATGCTGAACACTTCAAATGCACAAATAATTTAACCACTATTCAATGTAAGAGTCAGGGTTATAGATTTTTATTTATTTGCTTTAATTCTTACAGCATCCTGGGTAATATTATTAACGCCCTCTTTTACAAAGATAAAACTCAGACTTAGAAAGATAGGCATTAATTGTATGATACATTTCAAAAATAAAAAAATTTTTTTAAAAAAGAAAGACACTGTTCTAGCAAAGTTCTTACTGAAATGCTCTTAAAGGATAGTGCATCTGAGTACATTGTGAGTTTTAAACCAAAGCAGCATATTGGAACTGCACAAATTGCTTTAAAATCTCATGATTTTGTAAAAATTTCATGTATATTTGCATTAGGTTCCATAATGTGATATTTTTATTTGAATATAAAAGTATTTCCCAAAATAATTATTTGAATAAAACTACTCCTATGGGAAAATCACCATATTCAACCAGTACCTTTACTTTTCCTTTTTAATATTTCTTTATTTGAAAAGAAAAACATATATCTCTCTCCACATCTGGCCACAATGGCCAGGCTTCTGCCAGACTGACCCCAGGAATGAAGAGTTTCTTACAGGTCTCCCGTTTGGGTAGCAAGAACTCAAACACATGGTCCATCTTCACTGTTTTTTCCCATACATGAGCAGGAAGCTGGATCAGAAGTGAAACAGCCAGGATACAAAATATGCTGATGTTGCAGGCCATGACTTTGTTCACTATGCCATAATGCCAACTCCCCAGTCAATAATTTTTCATATCTCCTGTCACACCATCCAATAACCTGTATGAGAAGTATGGGACCAAATAGCCTAGCCAAATTTTTCGAATCCAGGATTGCTTGACTCCAAAATTCTTTTTATTTTTCTGCAAAAAAAAAAAGTGTTAAATGTTTATTTGTAAAATATAAGCAGTTCTTAATTTTTTTTCTTAGATAATGTCTCTTCTTTCTATTGCCAACACCAACTGTCCACTTCGCTCATCTTGATTATAAGAAAGTTTCTTCAGCTGGTCTCTGAATACAGTACCTTCCAATTCATTATTTACACGACAACCAGGGTGATTTTTCAGAAGTATGCATCTTCTTAGTCACAGATTATTTTAAGCTGTTCTCTTTTCTTACCATGTTTTAGTTATTGAGCCTTCTGTTTTAAAAAAAGGATTCATTTATTTTTATTGCAAAGTCAGATATACATACAGGAGGAAAGAGGAAAATCTTCTGTCTATTGATTCACTCCCCAAGTGGCCACAACTGCTGGAGCTGAGCCAATCTGAAGGCAGGAGCCAATAGCCTCTTCCATGTCCCACAGCCTCTTTCATGTCTCCCACACAGGTGCAGGGTCCCAAGGGTTTGGGCCATCCTCGACTGTTCTCCCAGGCCACAAGCAGGGAGCTGGATGGGAAGCGGGGCTGCCAGGACATGAACAGGCACCCACTAGACTACCATGCCAGGCCTATGCCTTCTTTTAATCCCAGAACATACCATGCTCCTCTTCTTGGAACTCTGATATACTATTTCCTTTACATATAATGTTCTTTATGATCCCTTTCATTCCTTGAAGTCCAGATCAAGCATCATTTCCAATGCTGGCATTTTGGCCTAATAGTTAAGATGTCTGCATCACATATTGGAGTACTTGAATTCAAATCCCAGTTCAGCTTCCAATTCTAACATTTCCTGCTCATGCAGAACCTTGGAGGCAGCAAGTGATGTGTCATAGTTATGATTGTATCATCCACATCGGAGACCTGGGTTGAATTCCAACTCAGGCTCAGACTGACCATTACAGGTAGTTGGGGAATGAACCTGGGGATAAGAACTAGCTTGCTTGTTCATTCTGTTAATCACCACAAGCTAATAAAAGTTCCAAGATAAGGTGGAAAACACATGCTTCAAAGATATCTTAGCGTATAAGATTATCTTTAAAATACTTATGATGCTTGATTTGTTTTCTAGCAAACTGTGAATGAATCAAGATCAATATTTCTCAAAAAGCTGTTCATGAACTATATTTTTAAAATTTATTTAGTTATTTTATAATTCCATCATACAGTTCCATAGACTCTGGGTGTTCCCTTCCCCGGTCTCCAGCCCACTGTCCCCACTGTTTTGCCCCATGTCATTACAATGGTATAGTGTTTCACAATCAGGCATAAACCTATCATTCTGTTATTTAAGTGTATGCTGACATTGTAGGGCTGGACGTTGGTGAAGAGTTCAGCATCCTATGGTCAAGATACACTGAGCAAAGAAACAGTGTTTTAAAAGCTAGATTGAACATACCAGTTATTGTTATTTAATGTTTTTCTCTTTTAAACTTTATTTGATATTAAGTAATCAAATTTCACTTATTTCGCAAAGCAGATAATAGGAGTGTGATGATGCTTCCTGTCCTACCATAACCTCTCTTCTTTTCACACGCCCCATTCATCCTTCATATTCTTTTTTTTCCTAATTTTTGCAAATGCATACTTTCATTTACTTCACAGGATTAACACCCCCTTGGCTAAAGATACCAGCAAATAGCATGTAAAAATTAAAACAAAGCTTATTGCCTAGGAGCAACAAAGCCTATTCCCTAGGAGCATAGACAAAGGTTGCAAACAAAAATCAAATGTCAGTTACACTCATATAGATATACTTTGATGTACCTTGTGTATGAGAAAACATTGTCTTTGGAACTGTCTTTTTGTTAATCATGATGGCTTCCAGCTGCATCCATTTAATTATAAAAGACAAAATTTCATTCTTTTTTTATGACTGAGCAGTATGCCCTAGTGTATTTATATATTTGTATGTATTTGTACATTTTCTTTATCCAGAGTTCAGTTGGTGAACATTTGGGATGTATTTAAATTTCTTTGTTCCTTCTTCACTTCCACTGTTTCACTTGCTATTTAATCTTTGCTTTAGGTTCTAGTATAATGCCTGCAGCTGGAACAATGTACCTAACAACTTCAACTGGATATCCTTACACCTATCATAATGGTGTTGCTTATTTTCATACTCCAGAAGTAACTTCTGTCCCACCACCTTGGCCTGTAAGTAATTTTCTTTTGGAAGCATCTCAAGTCTATTATACTGATTTTTCAAATATTTGCTTTATTTCTGAAATATTTCAGTCACAGATAAATGCGCAAATAAAAACATAGTACTCTACCACCCAAATTAAACAGATGTTAGTGTTTTCGTTATTTAAGTTATTTTTAAGGAGGAGGAAGTAAAATAAAACAAATTCAGATTGTTTACTTATCTCCACTCCTTTATTCTTTTCTCCTCAGAATTATCCAGAATATTTTCCTGCCATCTTGATAAGTGTTTACTATGAATACACACGTGCCCTTAAACAATGTGTATTATTGCTGAGGGTGGTTTTTAAACATTTAAATCTTACTTTTTTACTCAACAATATATTTTTTAAATTAAACCATTTTGATCCATATTTTTAGATTATACCATGTATCTATTTCACTTGTTTTATAATATTCTGTTGTCTATCATATTTTTTTTTAAGATTTATTTTTATTGGAAAGTCTGATATACAGAGAGGAGGAGAGGCAGAGAGGAAGATCTTCCAACCATTGATTCACTCCCCAAGTGGCCACAGTGGCTAGACCTGAGCCAATCCAAAGCCAGGAGCCCAGATCCTCTTCTGGGTCTCCCACAGGCTTTGGGCAGTCCTCAACTGCTTTTCCAGGCCTCAAGCAGGGAGCTGGATGGAAAGTGGGGCTGCTAGGACATGAACCGGTGCCCATATGGGATCCCGGTGCATGCTAGGCAAGGACTTTAGCCACTAGGCTACCATGCAAGGCCCTTTTATTTTTTTTATTAATAGATATTTTAAGTTTTTTCCACAATCAAGGCTTCTCAAAGATCCAGATCTTGTGTGTATTATATGAATATTTCTGTAGCATAGTGGTTTTCCAAGATTTTGCTTGATATGCTGTAAAATATTTTAGATTATGCATATATGTAATCATACTTATTTTGGTATTTGAAATTTATCATGCACTTACATAGTTTCAGCATATTAAATATTGAATATTTTCTTTACATTTTATCAAACTTTTATACCTAGGGATTTAGCTTATTTTAGCTTATTTTGATAATGTAAAGTATCTGCTTAGTCAAGAGGGGCCTGGCGGCATGGCCTAGCAACTAAAGTCCTCGCCTTGAATGTTCCGGGATCCCATATGGGCGCCGGTTCTAATCCCAGCAGCTCTACTTCCCATCCAGCTCCCTGCTTGTGGCCTGGGAAAGCAGTCCAGGACAGCCCAAAGCTTAGGGACCCTGCACCAGTTTGGGAGACCCAGAGAAAGTTCCAGGATCCTGGCCTCAGATCGGCATAGCATCGGCCATTGTGCTCACCTGGGGAGTGAATCATTGGACAGAAGATCTTCCTCTCTGTCTCTCCTCTTCTCTGTATATCTGAGTTTGTAATAAAAATAAATTAAAAAAAATTAATTAAGAGAAGCTAAATGAAACATTGTATGAGAAAATTCTGATTATTTTTAGGCTGAAATAAATGAATGAGTTCATATGTATTCCTGTGACATTCAGCTAATTTTAAGTTTGTTCTCTGGATGAAAATAAAGAACTGCATTCCTTTAATATTACCATACAAGGTCTTTGGCTTTTCTTCCTCCAGTTTCTCAGGAATTGTGTAATTGCTTGAAATCGTGATGATATTTACATTCCGATATAAAGCATTATAGCAAGATCCAGAGTAAGTAAGAAATGTGCCTTTTTTTTAAAGAGAGGAAAACAATGATGGTTAAAGAATTTTTAAAACAGTACACAGATGAGTTTATAAGGAGAGCAAATCATAAAAAAGAACATAAGTTGATTCTGAATTGTTACTTTTAAGATAATTCAGCAACCCGTGTCACTGAAAAAAAATGTGCTCCCTTAATCTGCATTGGTTTAAGCCAAAATATATGCATTGAATCGCAGTTTCATATTCATAATGTGTTCACATCCTTGATTATTGTTGCCAAAGAGCCTTGCAAAGTGAGCCGCAGTGGCAACAGGTTATGAGAGCTCTAATTTCTCCATAATCTGCCAACCCCTATAATTACTATTTTTACATTTTTGTCAATGTCATTAGAGAGTGGTATTTTTTTACTACTCATTTGCCTAATTACTGATAAAATTGAGCATATTTTCATATATACTAACTGGCCATTCCAGTTTCTTCTGTGAACTGCCTGCTCATATTCTTTGTCAGTTTTTCTGTTGGGATGATCTTTTTTCCTTGAGTTCTTTAAATATTAATGTTTTATGTTGTAAATATCCTCTAGTTTTGCCTTGCCCCTTTATGCTCCTTCTCATTAAAAAATTAGGATATTTTTGCTCCTTCTTTTAATGTCAAGAAATGTCATCTTGTTTTCCTTTATGGTTTCAACCCCTAGTATCTTATTTTGCAAAGAATTCTTCGTTATTACAAGAGTGAAAATGTTCTCCTATATTTTACTTTTTAAATAGTACAATGTTACTGCTTTTCACATGCATGTTTTAAACCTCAACTTACATATTAACTAATCCATGCTTCTACTGCTGTTTGAAATGAGTCATCTGTCAAATATCAAGTGTCCATCTGTTTTCATTATTGTGGCTTTATAACTTTGTTCTTTAAGAATCTTTTGTCCTTTTGTCTTTGTCTTATAAGAATAAATTTTGTAATTCAACTTGTTGGGTTCTGTTGAGAGCACTTATTAGGCTTTTATTAGACTTTCACCTAACGCACAGGTTAATTGGAGACATTAAATGTTTTATAATGCAGAGTCTTCCCATCTATGAACGTGATATGTTTGTTTTCTTTTGTTTCTACCACCTATTAAAAATCTTTTTTCTTTAAAAAGTTTGACAAAACTGCTGAATCTACTCTTAATATTCTGTAGTTTTTTATCTTTTTGTAAATGCTAATTTTTCTTTTAAAATAACATGTCATAGTAATTTGAGACTCATTTGTGATAATGCTTTTGATTATGCAATGTTGATAATATAACCCTGCCAAGAGTTCATTTAAACAATCAATTATAATTCAGTATATGGCTATATTTTTATATTCTTTTGTTTCTCATTTTTCCCACAAAACTGGTAATATTTCTGCTATAATATTAATGTAGTAATATCATAAACTTACTCTTAAAAGTAAAATAAATAAAAGTAATTCACTATTTAGCTTAAAATATATGTATGTATATATTTGTGTATCTTCACACAAAGAGACATGCACAAACAGTGTAAGCCCCAAAGATACTCCTTTTTTTAAAAAAAAATATTTATTGTAAAGGTAGGTATACAGAGAAGAGCTTAAAGATATTCTTAACCAGTTTCACTGCCTCGGCACTAATGCTTTTTTATTTTAATATTTTTGTTTTGAATTTTGAATTATGTTGTACATTTTTGTATAACTAATGATGTTTTGATCCAGGTGATTCCTTTGTTGTAGAATCTGTCGTGTGCATTGAAGAACATTTAGAAGTGTCCCTAGCCTCCCTGTAGTTAGGATAACCGGAAATGTCCCCTAATTTTGCCTGATATTCTCTGGTGGACAAAGTCCCTCATGGTGAAGAGTCACTTCCCTAAAGCAATTAAATAAGTTACTTTTATTCTGTTTGCCAGTTTTTTTTTAAATTACAAAAAGGATTGAATTTTAACAAATTCACTTTTCTGTCTGCTAAAATTATATTGTTTTTCCTGCTTTAATCCACTAATGTAGATCGCATTATTTTCTACCACCGCATTATTTTCAGCGGCAACACTAAAAACCATGAGGCACACTCTTGAGGGTCCGAGAAAAACCGGAACCGGACCCCTCACTGCCCAAAGTGGCAGCGTTTCTCTGCTGCTCCTGTCCCCATTGGTCTAAGCTTTCCTCTTCCACTTCTCTAGCCCTAATTCCCGCCACCCTTCTTCCCATATTACTTCTTCCCATACTTTCCCTGTCTCCTTTCCACCACCCTTCTTCCCGCCCCCCGTCTGTCTGTGTTTGTCCATTCGTCTGTCCTAGTCCATTGTCGTCCCCCTAGCTTTTACAGGCTACTTTTATATCATTCTCCACCAATCACTTCTCCCCGTGGGTCCACTTGGCGCTACATGATAGGCCAATAGCAATGACATAATCACACAGGGGAGAGGGGTATTAGTCAATGCTGTGACTTCCTGTTTACCTGCTGGCGAGACCAACCCCCCTCCTGGCCCTGGGCCAGCCGCCATGTTGTGACAGCCTCTCCTAATCCCAGGAGCGGCTTTAGCGCCCCGCTTCCCACAATTTTCTAAAGTTAATGAGGTGCAATTTTATTAACATATCATTATAGTCTGTGAATCATGCAAAACTGTATTTATTCTGTTTTGAGGATATGAACACTAAAACAAAACAATGTAAGTTAAACCTTTTAGTAGAAATTGGCTTTTAATTACTGTCTTTAGGGCCATTTTGACCATTTGCAGCACAATTTACCTATATAAGTGATGATTTGGTTTTAAGTAATCTGATTTGGGCCCTCCTACATCACTTTAGGTAATCAAGTGTTACTTGCACTTTCTTCAGCTATAGATACAACACTTACGTATGCATCACTTACATGATAATAAGCCTTTACGTTTATTAGATAACTGATTTATTTAATAGAATTTGACAAGTGCTTCAGTAAATAAGGCATTTGCTGTAACTAAATATATATATACCAGGGGAATGGAATGTTGATTATTTGTAAGTAGGGAGAGATTAGCGAGAAAACCAGATATGATAACTCATTAGTTCTGAATGCTACTGTAAACATTAACCACCTACTGCTAGTCTCCACAGTAAATATAACAAACATTATTACTCTAAGACCAGATGCCTTTTTCTGCTAAATATTCTCTTGGAATTATATTTTCACAGTTTTTGGAAATAATGGTTTCTAGTGATTATTTTGAGAATTACCATGGAAGTAAAACCACATTTAAGTAGGAATAATGTGTTAATTTTAATAAAAAGACTTAAAGTTGACAGTGTTATTAACAAGTAGAAAATAGCATTTCTATACCTAAGTCATAGATTGACTTGCTTCAGGCAATACTTTGAAGTAAATTCTATCAGTGAGATATTTTGTAGAATTTTGACATAATTTTTCTATTTTTCCTTCATCTTAAAGTCACGTTCTATATCTAGTTCTCCTGTGATGGTGGCTCAGCCCGTTTATCAGCAGCCTGCATATCACTATCAGGTAAATGTTAAATTATACTTAAAATCCTCTATGTACTTTCAGCCTCACTCTTGTAACTTATTTTTTCTTGCTGATGCAAATATTCTACTAATTAAAAAGAAATAGCTAAACCTTACTAGAAAATTTCTTTTTTTTTTTTTTTGAGGCAGCTATACAATGTTACACAAAAAGATGCCCCATTTGCTTCCTTTTACCAAGCAGTTTTGTTCCCTGTTTGACAGGTACTCTAAAGTCCTTCGCAATAATTCGCAAAGTAAGATACAGATATTGGACCACAAAGTTATTTTTTTCAGGTTACTTTTAACATTAAATCAGAGTCTTGTCATTATATTTAATATGATGTATGTTAAAATAGATAATATGTTGTAGCTTATTTTCTGTTTTAACAGCTTTTCTTAATTAGCACTATTCATTTCATTAATTCTGGTGAGAAATTGGAGATAAGTGAATTAAAATGCCAGACCATTACAACAGGGTTGTAAAACTATGGTTCACAGACCAAATAGAGCTAAAGAGGCTGTTCTTAAGAGAAAGGCATTATTGGAACTCTGCTCAATTGTTTACATGTTGTCTGGCTGCTTTTGTAATACAGTGAAAAAAATGAAATGAATAGTGTTTTAATACCAGTATTTCCTACTAATTTTTTTTAAATTTTTATTTTTAATGTTGTTTACGTGATTGAGAAGGGTGCATGTCCATATGGGCCACTGATTAGGGTTGGAATTGTCAAGCTATGGAGGAAAGTGGTTGGGTGGGACAAATGTTTCCCATTTTTTCTTTTTATACTGTATCTGTAGGAGGTGGGTGTAGGGAGGAAAGGAAGATCGCCCCTTGTTGCCAAACTGCATTAGCACCCAGGGATAACAGATGAACATTTGATGTCATCCCAGAGACCCTGAAGTGGGGAAGAATGTTCCAAGGGTGTGAATTCAATAATTCTGAGGCATTGTTGGTTTCATTTCTCCAGGGTTCAGAAAATCTTACTAAGATCTGTTAGTTGACCAAGTCCACCTTGGTGGTATATATACACACTCTGACACTTGGTGCCAAAGCTTGGCCAGGAGAGTTGGCCAACCTGTGATTTTCTCTATGGCCAGAGTTTGCATCTAGCAATCTAGTTGGGGAGTCCCCCAGGAAACCTTGCCTGGGGTGACCCCAGACCTAACTTGTGTGCACCAACTAGTGGGGTCCTATTCAGTCTGTCACCTGTATCAACCTAAATGTACATACCAATGAATGCAGTTAGCTGGTCAGTTCTGCCTCCAACCCCACCTCCCATGCAAACCCACCAGTGCTACAACCTAGCCCAACCCAGCCCATCACTAACCCAATCCTTATGCACACCAGTGGGAACTGCAGCCTAGTCAGTGTTCTGGGCCAGCATGCCACCCAGCCGGAAGACTGGGCTGCGGAACCATGCACTTATAGGACCATGGGCTGTATGTTGCTCAGGAAAGGGTGTGTGGGATGTGAGAGAGGTGAGACTGTAGTTGCCGGTCAGCAAGTGGGCTGAGACCAGCAGTTTGGAGGAGGGAAACTACAAGACCTTTCTGGATCAGTTAAATGCACCCAGCCACATGGGAGACCTGAGCTGGAATAGTTAGTATCAACCATTGCCAAGTATCACCCACTGGCATGCAACTAAAGCTAGGGCTTGATGGCCTACCTGGCAGGGCTTGACCACAGTACTGATCAGTGAGTGTCGGAACAGCGGATAGGTCACATTATGCTGGGTCATGACACTAACCAGCAGGTAAGAGAACCAGACCTGGGGGCAGATTCTATGGGAGATATACGGGCTCAGCCTTGTGGAACAGTACTATGCACTGGATTGCTCAAGATCTGGGAGTGATGACAGGCCAAGCTAGGCATGACCATGAAAGTCACAAACATTCATACATGCTGGAGTTGGGAATAGGTTGGGCTGGTCCAGATTGCAGCACCAAGAAGTGCAACCAAAAATTGGATGTGGGCTGGGCCATGCCACAACATCTGCCAGCACTCACAGAGGCTGAGAGTGGGGATCAGAATATGCTGGGTAAAGACCTAGCACCCATTGGCATTCATAAAATCTGGGTCTGGGAGTGGGTCTGATAGGGGAAGTTGGGAAACTCCCCTGGTGGGGTGTATCTCCCACTGGTGAGCATGTGAGTAAGGGCTAGGTGTTGGTCAGACTGAACAAGACTGTTCCATGTGTCAGCATGGAGTGGGTTGCCTCTGAGAGCATGTACCAGGCTGGGCCAGGCCAAACCATAGCACACTGTCAGGAGCCAAGATGAGGTATGGGCTATGCCAGGCTAGATGAGGCTATCATACCTACTGGTCGACATGACAGCCAGGGATAGGGGCACGCTACATAGGGTGCTGCAGCACCCACCAGTGAGTGTTGTTTCTGGGGACAGGCCAGACCAGCCAGGCGGCAGCATCTATGGCAAGGGCCAAACCAGGGAGTCTACACCAGGCTGGGTCAGAGCAGCAAGAATACTCAAGATCTGTGAATGGGAGCAAGCCTGATTGGGAAGCTAAGAGAAACCCAGCTTGGCTGTGATTCCCACTGGTGAGCACAAGAGCCAGGATGGGAGTAGCAAACTGGGCTGGACATGACTACTGCATCCCTCAGCATGGGTGTGGACTGGGTCTGGGGTGTGCCAGACTTGGCTAGGTTCTAACACCAGCTGGTGCTTGTGCCAGAGCGGTTGTAAGACAGGCTGAGCTAGCACCTGCTGAACCACATGAAAACTGGGTCTTGGGGTGGGCAAGGTATAGGTGGGCTGGAGCACCCAACAGTAAGAGCCAGAATGACTATGGGCGGTCACTCAAGGCCACTGTACCTGCTAGGACAGGAGGTGGGCCAAGTCAGTCTAGGCCAAGCATCCACCAGTATGCACAAGACTTGTGACTGGGAAGTGACCAGAAAGAGGAGCTTAGAGAATTCCTCTGTCAGGATACAGTCGCTGCAGGTGAGTGCAAGAACCAAGGCTGGGAGCATCCCAGACCAGGAGTAGACTGTAACCGGGGCAGGTTATAGTACCCTCCAGTATACATGTGGATCAGGTCTAGGGGAACAGCCGGGCTGGCCCAGTTCGTCATATCCACTAGCAGATGTGAAAACCAGGACAGGGTGCATGACAGTCCAGATTGGACCCAATGTGAGCACCAGTCAGTTCACATTAAGGCCAGAGCCAGGGAGCTAATTGGGCTAGGCGAGGCAGCAGCACACACCAGCATGAGCTGGAACTAAGGGCAGGCCAGATGAATGATGAGATGAAGGCAGGCCATGCCAGGCTGGGCTGCAGCAACTACCAGCAGATGTAACACCCTGGCGAGTGGGCTAGTAAGTAGGAGGACTTCAGGGACTCCCCTACTGGGTTGTTGCTCTCACTGCTGAGTATGAGAGCTGGGACTTGGAGTGGACCAGGCTAGGCAGAGCTACAAAACCCACTGACCTGCATTTGAGTTGGATTAGGGGGAGAGCCAGACTGCACTGCAAGACCCTATCTACTGGTATTTGTATGAACAAGAGTAAATGCAAGCTGGCCAGGCTTTGCCATAGCATCAGCTGACAAATGCTGGAACTGAGGGCAAGTCCTGTCAGGCTAGACCACAGTGTTAGATGATGGCCACCGACCGCCCGCCCGCTTGGTGAAATAATATCGGCAAGTTGTTCAGAGTTGAGATGGAAGCTTTATTGGAAAATCCGCTCCTGGGCCCCCCTTCGCGCAGAGGGGAAGGAAGAGGGAAGCGAAAAGGGCCTCTGAGATACGTGTGGAGGAGTTTTATACCCCTCTAGGCATGTGGGAAGGCAAAGGGGCTGTCTGTGCCCCAACTATGCAAGGAATGTCCATTCAGGTGTGCCATTGGTCACCTGGAATCCCGCCAGGTAGGTGACGTAACTGGCTCCTGTGGCCCCTCCTCCTGTTACAGGCTGGAGCCTAGGAGATGTGGGGGCGGGGCAGACCAGACCCTAGTCTCCAGTGCCCTGGGCAGCCATCACACAGTACCACTTGGAAAGTACAAGATCCAAGACTGAGATTGGGCCTAGTAGTAGGAAATATGTAGGCACCCCTCTCTGGGCTACAGCTCACACTGGTGAGTGTGAAAACGAAGGCTGGGGGTGGCCTGCCAGGACAGGCAATAGAACCTGCCAGTGTAAGTTTGGGCTGGATAGTGGGGTCAGTCAGACTGGCTTAGGCACTCACTGATATGCATTAGAGCTGAAAAGGATACAGGACAGACTAGATCAGTCTTCTGTATATACCATCATGCACAGGAAACAGCTGGGGGCTGCCCAGTGTGGGTTACTGGGGGTTGCTCTGATTAGGTTGCAGTTCCGCTAATGTACGTCAGGGCTGGTTTTTTGGTGTGCAGGGTTAGGTTGGGCCATGGCATTCATCAGTTTGTGTAAGAAATGGAGCTGGAAACAGAACTGGCTGGGCAACTGCAACCACCACTGTGTATAGTCTGATGTGGGTGATGGTATGGGGTCACCTCTGGTGAGGTTTCTTTAGGGACCCTCCCTTCCAACTTGAACACTGCTCAAAACTCCAACCACAGGGAACACCATAGGATCTGTGGTCTGGCCGTGGAGTACATGAGTCAGAACTGAGCCTCCTTAGTTTGCTGAAGCCTGTGCACTAGACAGCATGCTCAGATGCACATGGGGGACAAGACAGATCATTGAGGCCATCAGAGGACATCTAATACCATGTAGGGCAGAACACATCGGACAACTCTCTCAGCCAAGCTTTGACAGCAAGTATCTAGGCAAGTAGAGACTCTAGGGTGGACTATGTCAGCCAATGAACCTTGGAATGATTTTCTTGACTTGAGCAATGAAATCAACATCTCAGATCTGTCACAACCACTTTAGCAGTACCCTCAAAACATACTCCACATTGGGGACCCTAGGATGACATCAAGAGGCCATCCCACATCTCTGGGTACCAAAGTGGTTAGGCTGCTGGGAACAGCCCTCTCCTCTTCCCCCTACCCCTAGCCACAGGAAGAAAAAAAAATGTAATTGGTATTGCACTAAATTTGTAATCACTTTTGATTGTATTGTAATCATTTTAACTATTAATTCTTCTAATCCATGTATACAAGAGACTTTTTGTGTCTTTATTTTGTTTAAAAAAATTTATTTATTTGAAAGACCAAGTGATAAGGAAAGGGGAAAAGATGGAGTGTCCGAGGGAAGAAGGAAGAGACAGAGATGGGGAGAGAGAGAGAGTCCTTCCATCCACTAATTCACTCCCCAGTTGCCCACAACAGATGGGGCACTGATCCAGACTGAAGTCAGGAGCCATGAACTCCATCCAGATTGCCCACATGAGTTGTAGGAGCCAAGTATTTTCTACTGTCTTCCCAGATACATTAACAGGGAGTTGGATCAGCAGTAGAGATGCCAGGAGTCAAACCAGCGCTTCACTAGGGGATGCCAGCATTATAGGAAGCAATTTAGTTCACTGTACCACAACACTAACTACTTATTTTCATCAGTGTTTAGTAGTTTTCATTACTAAGACATTGAAAATGAAGGAAATTCTGTCAAGTACAGCAAAATAAATGAAACTAGGATATGTTAAAAGAATGTAGCAAATACAGGAAGTTACTACATATTCATGCTTTAAGAAGTTCCCAGGAAGAATTGTGAAGTACTTATTTTGGTGCAGAAAGATGTAAGATCCAATCATTTTTTTCACAAACTATACATTTTCCATGCTATTTTGAGGGACTCAGACTCTTCAAATGTATGGATTTCAAAGCATTTTCAAAATAAACTTATTTTTAAATTCCATTTCCACAGACTTCAAGGATATATTATATGGGAACAGAAAGAAATCTGAGCATAGACTCGTGATTACCAGAGGTTGGGATGGAGGGGCAAGGAAGGATAGAAACTGGACAACAAATGCTGAAACAAGATAGAATAAATAAGTCGAGTGTTCCACAGAACATTCGTTGACTAGTTCACACTTATGTGTCCATTTTGTGAAAAACTAGAGGAGAGGCACTGTAAGGCTCCACTATAAAGAAATTAAGGAAATAGAATCTAGATGGCAGAATAGGGTAAGGACACATTTAAACAGACGGAGAAATATTAGCCAGTGTGAAACAAAGAGGGCACATTCCAGGAAACGGGAATTGATAGCTTAAACTCATCAATCAAACATCATAGATTAGTAGACTGGCTTAAACAAAATCATACTCCATCAATCTGTTGCCTATAGGAGACAATTTCGCCAACAAAGATCAGTGGAAACTATATCATGGATTTCTATTTTCTTATTAGTTTCACTTCTTCAAAACACTTTTTTTCTGATTAAATTCTTCAGCGACTCATAGATCATGCACTAGCATCATTTTCTTCAAGAAGGTCCTTGATTTTCTTTTTCATTTCTTCAGCGAAATGAATTAGTCATTCAGTATCTTGTTATTTAACTTAATGATGTTGTTAATTTCTTTTTTTCTTTCTGTTGTTCATTTTGTTTTGTGCCTTTTCATTTAAGGGGATGTGTAGTAACTGTGTAATGGACACTATCATATCTAGCAGCATGTTATCTAACTTCATGACATTGTAAATTTCTGTTTTTCTTCCTGTTGTTGATTTTGTTTTGTGGCTTTTCATTTAAGGGGATGTACAGTAACTGTGTAATGGAAACTATCATATCCAGATTGTGAGGACACAATGCAGTATGCATCCCTACTTCCAGACCAAAGATGGACTCCCAATGAAACTATTTACTATATCTTGACAATAGGATGCTGGACTCTCTGCCATTGTCCATGCCCGCAATGACAGACATATGACTGTGTATGAAGAACTATACTTCAGTAATGATATAGGGGAACTCATAGGGGAGGAAATTGCAGAAGGGATAAGGAAAATGCCAGGAGCCTATGGAACTGTGTCATAAAATGATGATAAAAATAAATAAATAAATAATGAAAAAAAGAAATTAAGGAAATAGAATGCTGACTACTTAATTTTATCAGTTCATTCTGTATAACAATAAATAAATCTTTTTTAAAAAATTACTTTCTATCAGAAAAACAGATTTAGAGGGAAGGACAGAAAGATCTTCCATCCTTGGTTCTCTCCCTAAAATGGCCACAACACCTGTAGCAGAGCTGATCCGAATCTGGTAATCAAGTGTTTCCTCTGGGTCTCCCACATGCATATAGGGTCCCAAGGCTTTGGGCCATCCTCAACTGCTTTCCCAGGCCACAACCAGGGAGCTGGATGGGCAGTTGAACAGACTATCACAAGTACAAATTGGGATCCTGATGCTTGCAAGGGGGAAGATTAGCCAGTTAAGTCATGGCGCTGGACCATGTGAAAGATCATAGTATCAATTTGCAACATAATATTTTACAACACAGGGCGTTATTTTAGAGCAGGCATTCAGAATGTACACCTGCCATATGAGAGTGCCAGCATATGAGTCTCAGTTGTGCTCACTATTCCAGCTTTCTGCTAATACACTACCTATCGTGGGAGGCAACAGATGATAGATAGCACAACTACTAGTTGAGTTGTGCCACCCACATGGGAAACCAAGATCGTTTTGATGTTGCTGTTTCTGCCTTCTGCCTACCCTGGGCTGTTGTGGGTATTTGGAGAGTATCAGAAAATGGAAAAATCTCTGTCCATTGTTCAGTTAGGTTTCCCCACCTAAGCCAATTTATATTTGGTATTTGTGCTACATGTGCATATAAAAACTGATATATTCTTCAACTGACCATAAAATGAGCCAGCGTACATGTGTCCCTCTTTCTGTATATAGTTAAAATTTTAGAGACAATAGCTCAAATGTGTCCTCCTAATTAAATAAACAAAAATTAACTTAGCAGTGATACTTCCATAAATCATTTCTATCTTTTAGATATATTAGACTTTAATCTAGATATATGAATTAAAATACTTCTAATCTAGACTGTGTGCTTCTGTAAAACCAAAGCCATATAGAATGCCAGCACCACAGGTCAGAGGACTAGCCTGCTATACTTCACAGTATAGGCCCCAGTTTTTAAATTGATCTTTCTCTATTCCAATCTCCGAGTTTGCTTTTATCTATACATACTCTCCAATGAACCATAGCAAAGTTGTCTTTGGCAATATGTTGATCCATGTGACTTAGGTGAACATCATGACTCCTCTTGCAGTCCTACCTTGTATCTGATCCATTTCTTATTAATTTTGTTTATGCTTTTATTTGTGATGGAATTGAAGGTCCACTGTCATTCTTTCTCATGTAAACATCCAGATTTAACCCTCCTTTATAATGTCAGTATTTTTTTGATTGTTGCTTATTTTTTTGCCCTTTCAGGCCCCTACACAGTGTCTACCCGGACAGTGGCAATGGAGTGTTCCTCAGGTAAAAATTAACTTTCAAAATCTATTCTAAAATCCATCTTTCATTGTCTTCTTGGAAAAATTGCATGAATACTAAAGAGAACTAGATTTGAGAACTAGATTTAACTATGATTTCATTGGCAGTTTATTTGATCACTATAGTCTCATTTTCCTGTACTATACCTTTGTAAGTATCCTTATGTGATTTTTGTGAAGATCAAATGAGATCATATAAGTGAAGGTGTTTTATCAAATAAGAGTGCTGTATGAACACGAGAAAATTATGTTTTACTATTAGCATTATCGGAAAACATAGCATTCTTTTAGCTTCACTTCAGATTTTGCTTCTGTTTGGTTTCTGCTCCTAAAGTATTCTGTTTTCTAACATTTTTGATTACATAGCATTACACTAAAAAGACTGTTTAATGATATTTTTCACTTTCTGTGAAAAGTCATAAAACTTAAGAATTGACATTTATACCAATTTAAATGCCATATATCTTATTATTATAGCTTTTAGTGGTGATATTCATATGTTCACCATTATCATCTATATTTCTTTTTGAAGTTCTGAGAGACTAAGAACTTTCAGCACCTAACCAATGAAAACATGCTTTAATAATATTTACACAGTTGTAATTTATTTCAACCCAAAATAACCAGTCCATTGCTCAGATATTTCTATACTACTCCTGAGAAGGAGTTTTAGGAAAGTATGAAACAAATATTTCTTTTATCTTTTTGAGAAGTCATTTGATTTAACAGAAATAACTAATCATATTAGAATCAGAATAATGGTTTTGTGTTTTAGTCTCCTGCCTCTTCTACTCCATTCTTATACCTACAACCTTCTGAAGTTATTTATCAACCAGTGGAATTTGCACAAGATGGTGGGTGTGTTCCTCCGCCACTGTCTCTGATGGAATCTTCAGTTCCAGAGGTATGTATCATCTTTAAGAACACTTTTTTAATTTGTTCAGGAAAAACTGCTTCATCATGCACATATCCTCCATATCTCAAAATGCCTTGTATTAGGTTTCTTCACCAACAGAACCATTTTCCAAACCAACCGTTTCCTCTAGGCCAATCCCTGACTCAGTCTTTAAATAGTATGATATCAAACACTTTGCCTTCTCATTTTGCCTGTGTTGTTACTAACATTCTGTGGGCTAAAAGTATGTAATAATTAAGCCAACAGTGTGTTAGAATTCATCTTTATCCACATCCTCCCCAGCATTTTTATTTTTTATCCTCATTCTGAAATATACACCCCAAAGACATGAAATCATTATATGAAAAAGATACTTGCTCCACCACATTTATTGCAGCACTGCTCACAATAGCCAAAATATGGAATGACCAAAGTGTCCATCATCAGGGGAACAGATTTTAAACTGTATGCAATGGACTACCATCCAACAATTTTAAAAAAGAATGAAGTATTGTTGTTCTCAGTAAATGAATGAAATTGAAGGACATCATTTTTAATTGTCAGACACAGAAAGACAAAGATTGCATATTCTTCCTCCTGCATGGCAGAAATAAAATTGCCCACTCAATCTGAACACAAAATATTGATTACGTAGATGCTCAGATGGATTGGGGGAAAAAATAGGAGTTTAAATAAAAAATAATAGGGAGGTTTGCACATAGGCACACAGGCTAATCTCCATCCTGTGAAACCAGCATTCCATATAGGTGCTGGTTCAGGTCCTGGCTGATCCACTTCCCACCCAGCTCCCTGTCTAGGCCTGGGAAAGCAGTAGAGGATGGTCCAAGTTCTTTGGTCCCTGCACTCACATGGGAGCCCTGGAAGAAGCTACTCGCTCCCACCCTTGGGTCAGCTTAGCTCTGGCTGTTGGAGCCATTTGTAGAGTGAGCCAGCAGATTGAAGACCTTCTCTCTCCTCGCTGCATATTCTGCCTCTCAGGTGAAAGTAATTAATTAATTAAAATAGGAAACTCTGGATATTTTTCTTTGTGTTTCTAATACATCACTGATAGCATTACCATAGGTATCAGGAACTGTTTTAAATCAGTATTGTGGAAGATTAAAACATAATAGCCATTTCCCATCCTGTGAATTCATCAATTAATTTGTTTGAATGCTTAAGAGAGAGTTCCCAGCTGCCACTTCACTTCTCAGATGCCTAAAACAGATGGGATTAGACCAGGCCAAAGCCGATACCTGGAACAGAAAACCCACCAGCCGCCAGTGAGCAGCGATCTGGACTCCAGCCACAACCAGGGATGAGCAGAGGCCACAGATTGGCTCTTGCGACAGTCAGATGGAAGCTTGGGTTTGTACAGGGAACTTGGGAGGCAAAGGCTGGCTGGGATTCGCCAGTCCTGCCAAATAGTTTGGCCCAGCAACAAGCCAAAAGGGAATGTCAACGTCAGACTCCACAAGGCAGCAGAGTGGTGGTGGGTCGGAGCTAACAGCACAGGGACCAAATGCTGGAGTGGGCACATTTCCAGCTGGTCACACCCGGCTGATCCCACGGGGAGGACAAAGCCAACTTCGCATCCTGTAGGATCTGTGTGGCCCCAGATCGGAAAGCCAACAGCCCTGATTCTCTGGCAGTGCCACACTGGGTGCCATCTGTGTGTCTAAACACAAGATCAGCACCACTGACAAACCAGTTATCTGGGACAGTTGGCATCTTCCTAATCTGGAATACTGATTGAACATAAAAATCAACTTGTAGACCTTTAGGTAATACATCTTAGAAACTTGCACTAAGGAAAAGAATCCACCAAATAGGATTGCAATGTCAAAAGTTAAAAGAAGAGATATAGGCACAATGAATGTTACCAAAGATTCCCAGTAAAGGAACAAAAGCTTCTAACACCCTCAGAGTTAACTGAGGAAGAGATTGAGAAAATGGGGGGAGGGGGGGGATACAATTCAGAAAACTCGTCATAAAGCTTCTGACCAACAATGAGAAACACATAATACAGGAATTCAAAGAATTTAAGGAATATGACACACAGAAATGAATCAAATGAAAGCTGACATTTCGGATGTTAATACAGTGGAATAAATTAAAGTACATTGGAGAGTCTCAAAAATAGAATGAATGAAGCAGAAGGAAGAATCTCAGAATTGGAAGATATTTCCTGTCACCAGGAGGAAATAAAAAAAAGCTGGAAGCAGAGTTAGGCCAAGCAAAAAAAAAGTATGCAAGAATTAAAAGATATGATTAAAAGACCCAACAAAACAATTATGGGAGTTCCAAAAGGCGCAGAAATAGAAACATTGATTAAAGGTATATTCAAGGTGAAAACTTCACTAATCTGGAGAAAGAATTGAAAAACAATATACAAGAGGGTCACAGAACTCCCAACAAAGTTAATCAAAAGCAATCTTCACCACGACACATGATAACCAAGCTCTCTTCAGTTGAACATAAGGAAAAGATCCTTAAATGGCTTAAATGTGCAAGTGACAAAAATGCAAGCATCCTATACAGAAACCTCAATCAAACATACAGCTGACCTCTCAGATGAAACACTACAAGCCAGGAGAGAATGGAGTGACATATTCCAAACTCTAAAAGGGTATAACTTTCAGCCCAGAATAATGTATCCTGCAAAGTTCTCCTTTGTCTTTGAAAATGAAGTAAAATTCTTCCACAATAAAGGAAAACTCCCAAGAATTCACCTCTAAACCTGCTCTACTACCAAAACCAAATGTAAATGTGGAGAACATTCACTAAAAGGCTAACAGAAGAGTTAATCAAAGAACAACCCATTGCTTAAATGACAGGACCAAACCTACCTACCGATATTAATTTTGAATGTAGAGGACTGAATCAAAAAACAGAACTCATCTATCTGCTGCTTACAGGAGACACATCTCATCAACAAAGATCAGAGGAAACAAAGTGAATGGATAGAAAGAGATATTCCGAGCAAATGGAAAGGAATATTGTGTAGGTGTAGCCATTCTTATATCACATGATACAACTTTGATGTGAAAAACATTTAAAAAGATGAAGAGCAGCATGTAATGATCAAAGGAGCCATTCAACAAGAAGAGATCCCCATAATAAATGTATATATGCCAAAGGCATCTAGCTTCATGAAATAAGCATTAATGGGCTTAAAGGGAGAAACAGACTGCAATACAATCATAGTGGGTGATCTTAATACCCCATTAATATCAATGGAAAGATCAAAGAGACAGAAACTCAACAAAGAAACAACAGAACTCATCCAGACTCTGGAGCAAATGAACTTAGTTGATACCTACCAAATCTTTCATCCTACAGAGAATGCACTTTTTTCTCATCAGTACACGGGATCTTCTCCAGAATTGACCATGGTATAGGCCATAAAACAAGCCTCGGCAAATTTTAATAAGTTGAAATTATACCATGCATCTTCTCAGAGCATCATGGAGTGAAGCTAGAGACCAAGAAGTCAAAACACCCAGGAAGACTTGCAGACACACAGAGACTAAATAATATGTTAATAAATGAGTAATGGATTAGAATTGAAATCAAAGGAGAAATTTTAAAAAGTGCTTGAAACAAATGAAGGGATCAACACAACATATCGAAACTTATGGGACACAAGGCAGTGTTAAGAGGAAAGTTCTTCTCAATATATGCTTAAGAAACTAGAAAAGCACCAAGTAAATGAGCTAACAACACAGTTGAAGGAGCTAGAAAAACATCAGCAAAGCAATCTCAAGATTAGTAGGAAAAAAAGGAATTATCAAAATAAGGGAGGAAATAGAGACCAAGAGAACTTTACATATGTTCAATCAGTCAAAGAGCTGGTTCATTGAGATAATCAACAAAATTGACTCCCCACTAGCCCAACTAATCAAAAAAGGAGGGAGAAGATATGCATCCATAGCATCAGAGACAAAAAAAAAAAAATGACAGATACCTCAGACATACAGAGAATTAAGAACTATTATAAGCAACTATAAGCAAACAAATCAGAAGACCTAGAAGAGATGGACAGATTTTTGGACACATAACAATCCACCAAAATTGAATCAAGAAGCAATTGACAATGTAAATAGACCTATAACAAGGACTGATATTGAATCAGTAATTAAAGCCCTCCCAACCAAGAAAAGTCTTGGATCAGATGGCTTCACTGCTGAACTCTACCAAACGTTTCAAAAGGAATTTACCCGGGCCCGGCGCGGTGGCGCAAGTGGTTAAAGGTCCTCGCCTTACACGCCCCGGATCCCATATGGGCGCCGGTTCTAATCCCGGCAGACCCACTTCCCTTCCAGCTCCCTGCCTGTGGCCCGGGAAAGCAGTCAAGGACAGACCAAGGCTTTGGGAACCTGCACCCGCGTGGGAGACCCGGAAGAGGCTCCTGGCTTCGGATCGGCATAGTATCGGCCCGTTGCGCTCACTTGGGGAGTGAATCATCGGACGGAAGATCTTCCTCTCTGTCTCTCCTCTCTGTATATCTGCCTTTCCAATGAAAAAATAATAAAAATAAATCTTTAAAAAAAAAAAGGAATTTACCCCAGTCCTCCACAAACTTTTCCAAGCAATAGAGCGACAATTCTTCCAAACTCTTTCTATGAAGCTAATATCACCCTCCTTCACTGTTGGTGGGATTGTGTTGGTGTAGGCCAATACAACCACTATGGAAATCACTATGGAGAGTGCTTAGAGAATTGCAAATAAACCTGCTATATGACCCAGCTATTCCTCTCCTAGGAATATATCCAAAGGGAGACAGAATCATAAAAGTGGGAGCATTTACAAGATGGATCATACGACAGGCTAGGATCCTAACTAGAGAGACTGGGACATAGCCACGTTTATGCCATTATAACAAGTCTTACATAAGATAACAACCTTAATCTATTTCAAGGAAATGTCCTTGATGACCCACAAATCTACTAAACCCTACCTCTTAATGACACTACCACTTTCAAATATTGCTATGCTGGGGACCAAGTATCAAACATTTGAAACCTTAGGTAGACAAACCATAGTACCATATAATTTAAAGAACAGAGTAAGACGGTTTAAATTTCAGGTGGTTAAGACTCATGTCCCACATGTGAGTGCCTGGGTTTGCTCTTTGGCTCTACTCCTACTCCCAGCTTACTGCTAATGACTTAAGAGACAGTGGAGAAGTGATGACTCAAGTGGCTTCCCACCACCCCTGAAAGAGACCCAGATTGCATTCCCAACCCCTGGTTGTGAGGCTGGCCAGTCTGCCCCAGAAGGGGGCTATTGCAAGCATTTGGGAATAGAACTCAGAGATAGGAGCTAGTACTCTCTCCTTTTATCCCTCCCCCTCTCCCTCTCGTTCCACTTAACCTATTCCTTTCCCTGAAAATTAAGTTTAATTTTTTTAAACGCTGCAGGACTTGTATTATAACTAGCACCGTTACCCATTTATTTTAATAGTAATTTGAATATGAAATATAAATAGTTCACTCATTTGACTCTTAGAATATAGTTTTACCTTCTCTTTTGCAGAATAGAAAGAGAAACCAAAAGAAAACAATTTATGGAAACCAACTCATCTTCCAGTCAACCTGCATACTAACTTATCCTTAGCTTCTTACATATTCATCTTGGACTTTTAATCTCATCCAAGGTTACTTCTTCCTCTTGGTGCTTTGGATACTGTCATTTCTTTTCTCCTCAGAGACCTCATTGCATGTGTTATCCCTTTTTTTTCTTTTAAGTCTTATACTCTTCACTAAATCTGCTTCACCACCTACTAGCTGTGTTTAGGAAATTACCTAAACATAAGAACATAATTCATTTCACAATATTGCTTTCATAATTCTTTTTTTTTTTGTATAATGAGGACATCAGGAAAATCCATTTTACAGGATTGGTGTAAAGATAGAAAATTTAGTATAACAAGTTACTTGTATAGTTCTTAGAATCTTATAAAAGATCAATATCCTGTGACAGATACCTTTCCAACAATACCTTCTCTTCTACCTTTCACAGCCAAACTTCTTGAAAAAATAGTCTACCACATTAAGTATTTCTACTACTCCACTACCTATTCACCCCTCATCTGCTGAAGTATATTTCATTACCTGTCAGCTAAAGCTGCTTTGATGAAAGTCCCCAGTGGCTTCTTAACTGCCAAATACTTAACCTCGATTCACCATTGTATATACTCCCATAAAACTCCTACTGTTAGTTTCCATTCAACTGCTTGTGCCTAGCAATCCTTTTGCTTTTATTTTCCTTTTCATTGAGTTTTAGAATACACCATTCAATACAATATCCATTAGCCACATGTGGCAATTGAGTATATGGAATATGACAAGAACAAATTAAGACACACTGTAAGTATAAAATGCACACCAGGTTTTCAAGATGTAGTATCAAAAAAGAAAATTTTAAAAAACTAGTACCTATGTTGATTAGAATTTGATATGGTATAATCTTTTGAATGTATTTTTTCACTTTTGACAGCTTTATTTTATCTTATTTTTGAAAGAATAGTACACAAAATGGCCCCTGGAGCAAGAGAAAAAAACCAAAAATACACCCCAATACATATATAAATTTAGTACATAAAAAGACTTTTTAGAGATGGATCCAGGCTATGCATGTGCAGACAATAGTTTAAATCACCTCTTATATCTTAAACAATAATTATTTGTAAGAAAATAGTAGGTTTAAAATGAAAAATGAAATAATTAGAAGAAAATACTCAAAAGGCAATTTTTTTAAAAAGTTAAGTCAGAAGAACACTGTTAGATTCCTGTATTATGTTTAGGATTGTATCCTTAAGGTCACACAGGTTGGATAATGCACAGTTCTTCCTTTATGTTCCATGATTCAGCTGTTGATTTAATGTTGACCAGAATAATTAAATAAAATTTCCTTTTATCCAGACTTGTACTGTATTAACTTAAAGAATACAGCTATCTTGATGTGAGATATAATTATATATTATTAAATCACATAATTATATTAATATTTCTTTAATATTTGCATTATTATTAGTAATTGCATGTGGTTGTATGAATCTGTGATTAATCATGTGTGATTGTTTCATTAGTTTTATTTTACTAATTATATATTTGATATTTAATGTTATATAATATTTCATAAAAAGCTAAATGCATTCTAAAATGGCTCCTACACAACGATAAATAACATAGGTAACTCATATTTTCCATTGGACAGTGCTAGCTCCATCTTTCTTCATACACTTCTTTTAGAATTCCTACAATACTGCAGATTTTACCACAACTCTAACTGCTCTCTAATTCCCTCACATTCATTGCATAAACATGCTTTTCTTGTAATCCATCTCTTGGTCAGTGGTATCACCATCCATTGGACAATCTTTACATGATCTTTCTGCTGCCTTTACTCTATGCCTTATCTTCCCGTAGTGTATAATCGCCCTGCCAGCCATACTAAAATAACCTGGGCAGATCACCTAAATGAGCTGTGTTTTTATTTATCCCTGTGGCTTTGTCATTCTACTCCCTGATTCTTCCCCTAATTCTTCAAATTTACCCATCAATCTAGTAGGAAACTCCTTTGCCAATCCTTCCTAACTTTCACTAGCAAAATGGGATTCTTGCCCTGCTCCCGGATATCCCTATGCATGTCTTACAGACATTTGGACTGCTGTTTATTTTTGGGTCATACTATAAATTACTTAAACATGGGAAATTAGTTTTTATCATATTTCTCCATTATATAGCAAAAGTCTTAATATATTATAAATGTTTATTAGATATTTTGAATTATTGAGTACAAGGAAATGTACTTCTTTTCTCTTTTTTTCCCCCTTTTTGTGATAGCCTTATTCTGATCATGGAGTTCAAGCAACTTATCACCAGGTTTACACTCCAAGTGCCTTTGCTATGCCTGCACCTGTGATGCAGCCTGAACCAATTAAAGTAAGAAGTTGGTTTTGATTGATTTTTTCTGTTTTCCTTCAGCTGTATTTCCAGTTTTACAGATTTCACTTTTGGGAAGGAAATCTTACTTTGGATATTTATATCCCATTTTTTGGTCAAAAGTACAAATTAGTGAACTTTTTCATGTGAAGAAAATGCGATCCTAAACTATTATACTTTCTGTTCATTAGTTTGAGGAAGTTATATACCATACATGTTCACAGTTTTTTATCATGTTACTGTAAAGTGTATATGATTTAAAAATTTACCATTTTAATCATTTAAAATGTACAGTTCAGTAACATTATTTACTTTCATAGTACTGTGCAACCATCACCACTATCCAAACTTTTACACCACCCAAGTAGAAACAATAGCTCTTCCCTTCTCTGCTCCCCTCTTCCCAGTCCCCAGTAATCCCTGTTCCATATCTGTCTCTGTAAAATTGTATATTCTACTATTTTTATATGCTCAGATTTTAATTACCTATGCTGATAGCATGTAGTATTTATATAGAGATGAAACAGTTAATAATATCCTCTTATAGTTTGGAAATTGTGTTCATGCTTCCTAAATCAGATCTCAGGCCAAAGAATGATTATATCTATGTGTATATCGAATATTTGTGCATTTTGACTATCTCCTATGTGGCAGGTAGTTCTTCCTATTCCTTGTGACTGTCTCTTAGTGAAATCCTTGTAACTTCATTTTAGGCAAATAGACTTTATTCCAGTAAAGAAGTGCTAATTGTTGAGGTGATATTTGTGTGTACTCTACTTTGGTGACTAGAGTGGTCATACTCTTTGCAATAAAATGAAAGAGATTAGCTCATGCTGATATTTATGCTGCTGACCTGTCCTTTGTGTTGAATTCAATATTGAAACAATCTGCATACCCTATCACCCTAACTATTATTACAGCTCACTGTATGCCTTAGCTTGCTTTATGGCAACATGAAATAGAACCATAATTTTTACCTGCTGTGAAAACCTAGTTTATTACTTTTACAAAAATTTCATTTTCAGGGTTGGTTACAATATTTTCTGAAAAAGACTTTCTCTGATAAGAGCATTTATCCCAAATACGTTTCTCTATAAATAGCCAAAAGTTATAGCTGCTATGCCACATTAAATAAGTGCTAGTTATTTTAAGTTACTGATATAGATGATAGACACATAGGTAAATAGGTAGATACATACATACATATATATACAACATAAATACATAGGTAGATAGATAGGTAAAGAGAAAGAAAAAATAAGAAATAGTGTATCCCAGTCCTACCGTGATGGTTCAGTGGCTAAATCATCACCTTGCAAGCTCCAAGGTGCCAGTTCAAGTCCTGGCTGCTCCACTTCCCATCTGACTCCCTGTTTGTGGCTTGCGGGAGAGCAGCAGAGGATGGCCCAAAGCCTTGGGACCCTGCACCTTCGGGGGAGACCCAGAAGAACCTCCTGGCTCCTAGCTTGGGATCAGCTCAGCTCCAGCCTTGCAGCCACTTGGGAAATGAACCAGCAGATGGAAAAGCCTTCTCTATCTCTCCTTCTCTCCATGAATTTGATCTGACTTTCCAATAAAAAATAAATAAGTCTCAGGAAAAAAAAATAGTGTATCCTAAATACTTCAAGTTGCATTAATTAATTCAAATAGAGGATGGACATTTCTAAAGAACTTTGATATTAAGTATTCTTAAAATTTTAGCTTATGATTACAGTTTTTAAAAAATTGTTAAATGTGTCAGTAGGTAACAGGAACAGTTACACACAAAATTCAATCTTACTCTCTAACTTATATAAACATTACCAGTCCTGGGGCAGATATTTGGCACAGCAGTTAGGAACTACTTAGGTTACTTGTGTCCCATATTAGAGTCCCTGAGTTTAAGTCTTAGCTCTGCTCTGAGTTCTCCCTGCTAAAACCCTAGGAGAGAACTCAGGTGAGACGGCTCAAGTGTTTGAGTCCCTGCCACCCATGTGGTAGATTTTCTCTCATTCTCTCTCCCCCAAGTGTGTCTCTAACTCTCTCTTTCTTTCTCTCTCTCTTTCAAATATAAAATTAATTATACAAATTCCACTTTGTAAAAAGTTGTACACAGTAGAGTTTTGTATTTTTCTAAGGTTTGAATGTTCAGTGCATTTTATATTTAAATTTTTCTTAGATTATTTAGCGGCCTTTAATAAAAAATGATGTACTACTAGGGACAAAGTTCCAATTATACCTCTGTCCTTTTCTAGAACTCTATACAAATACTTCACTATACAAATTTTATTATTTGGCAAATTATCCACTTTTGTTTATAGGACATTCATATTATAACATCAGTATATAAGTATTGAAATATAATTAGGGATCAATATATCTAAAACACATTAAAGCAGCCTAATATTAAAATACTAATAAATGACATTTGGAACATTAGCCTTTTTACTTCTTAGGCAAATTTTCCCTGATATCAAAACCTTGATGATTTTTACAGTAGAAAGGCAGAAATACTCTTTGCAAGAATTTGCGCCTCTTCTTTCTATAATTGTAAGTCATTTTTAAAGCTCTATTATAGTTTTATAAATATGAATTAAGTGCATTTCTCAAAGAAGGAATTTAAACCACAGAGACTTTACACAGAGATTAGCACACAGTTGTAACTGCTGCAAAGTGCTGTTTGCAACAAACCAATCATTGACTGTAAGTCACAGTCTGTGTAATTCTGTCCAATCAAATACAAAAACAAATGCAGATCAGAACAATATAGATATCATTAGAATAATATGGTATATAAATAAGACTGTCATACCCTAATTCAGCAGTCACATCTTGTACCAAATTAAATTCTAAAGTCAATAAAGCAAAATGACATATCAAATTAACTCATTGAACTAGACTGTAGGAAGGAACAAGAGGAAAACTTTGTGTGCCTGGGAAATGAACTTATTATGCCTTTCAATACCTGTCTGATCCCATGTATGAATTGTGTAAGCAGAGAAATACAAACAGATTCTGTTTTCTTAGTGTATGTTCATTTTTAATTAACACGTCTCTATTAAAATTGTTCTTATGAAGACAGGCATTTGTGATTGAGAAGATTATAATTTGACGTCATCTTTTAAAATGCATTCTATTTAACTCCAGGTACAATAGCTGTCTGTGAAACACATGTGTATTAAAGACAATATTTAGCCACTTGCTAACCTGAGGAATTTCTTCTAATTAAAAACACTGACAAATGAAAAATCCTGTGGTGGCCTCTGTACAGTTTATCCTTCGGGAAGACAATGTGATTTAAAAGAGAATTGGAAGAGGATCTAAACTATCATCACTGTCTGCTTCTGCCTCAGAAGCCCAGCCATGTACTCACCCTAAAGTTAGCAGCTATCTCTACAAAAAAATTCTACTGCCATTGTCTTCTATTTAGCAAATATCTAGTTTCAGTATCTTTAATATATAGTGCATTTTAATTTACAGACTAAATTTCCCTTATCCTGCTCTCAGGAAAATCTAAGTGAGGAAGAGGACAAGTACAAAGCACTGTGTTCAGGAGGCCAGACACAGGAAAGGTCTATCATTTGCAGCTCCCAGCATACCTCACAGGCATAAATTCCCACATAATGTACATAAACAACAGACACCCTTTAGTTCTCTGGAATAATCATAAGACTAGGTAGCAAGAATAAAAGTGATAACTAGTTAAGCACTAGAAATTATAGTATTTTGGTAAGTATCAGTTTCCCTAAGTGATATAAATCTAATATAAGGGACATTAGATCATAAGGATAGTCAAGGGCTCATGAAACCAATCTATTACAGATGCCATGTATCAATCTCTACTTAAGGATAAGTAAAATATATACTCCGTGGGTGCTGTAAGAAATATTTGCATATACACTACATTGTAGTCAAAGATGTATAGCACAAAGAATTGGTTCTCAACTCAGGATAGAATTCTGATAAACTCATTTGCCACAAATACAACATATTACAGTAAGACATATTTTATGTGCATTTGATAACATTTTTCATACAGTTTATCATAATAGGGTCCACTGTGATAGCTCAAATGACGTACTGCACCTGCAAGTGCAGAATCCCATATGGGAACCAGTTCATGTCCTGGCTGCTCCATTTCGATCCAACTCCCTAGGAAAGTTGTGGCCTAGGAAAGCAGTGAAGGATGACCCAGGTTCCCAGCCTTGGGAACCTGTTCCCACGTGGGAGACCCAGGAGGAATTCCTGGCTCCAGGCTTTGGGTCAGCTCAGCTGCAGTTGTTTTGGCTCTTGGGAGTGAAGCAGCAGATGGGAGATCTTTCTCTCTGTCTCTCCTCCTCTCTGTAAATCTGCCTTTCCAATATTAAGTAAGTTTAAAAAAAAAATCATAGCAATACAGTGCACCATAGACCATCAGTTATTTACCCTCTTGATGTTTCAGTGTACTGAGTACTGCAGCTTTCTGCCACTGGCCAGTGTTACAGGAGAAACCCACACCACATCTTACTAGCCTAGGGAGAGATCAAAGACTCAAAAGATCAAAATTCAAATATGTTTTTTACTGCATGCACATCTTTTATGCCATGGAGAAACATTTGCAGATTGATTAGATATGTAATTAAGTTCAAAATTTAGTTGCTTCTTATAGAATAGACCTTGTTAGCTTTGGTTTTCCTGAGATGTTGTAATCAAATCAAAAATTGCTTTAAGAATGCCAGGTTGAATATTTTGTTACTTTTTGGATTTAAAATTTTAATGATGACAGTGTGAAAGATGGGGCCTTAATGCTATCCTGAGTACATTTGTAGCAACAAGTGAATTACTTGGTGTTATTATGTAATAATTACTGTTCTAATCGTTTTCATTTAATGATGGACTTCAAGGAAAAAGAGATACTAACATTTTACCCGTTCCAAAATTAGTTCAAAGAGGCATTTCTGAAGAATGTGTGGATAGAGGTTTATTACAATGTAGCTTATTTCCCTTTTTTAGTCTTGTGCATTTTGCTTTACATATTTAAAAAGATTATTCTGAGAAAAATTCTGAATAGGCTTTGGTAGATTGGCAAATCAGTTCATAGCACACATACTCAAAAATAGTAAATAACCTCCACAATAAGTCACTTTATTTTACTTGTATTATAAGTTTTTACAAGGATAAATTCCTTAGCTACATGTTCTTAATTATGGAGAATATCTGGCTGTTTATTACTGATTGAAGTTGTTCAAACTTGATAAGTAGTGACATAGAAAAAGATTAAGGAGGAATAATAACCAGAAAAGCAAACACAGTTTCTCACATTAAATAAATATGGAATTTTATGAAAATTCCTATAAATGTAGCTTATGCTAAATTATTTTTTTAAGTGAACTAAAAGTTAAACTAAGTTCTAGTTTAACACTCATTTTTGGAAGAATAAGCAAAGATTTAACTTAACAAAGATTTAACTTAAGTACATAAATATTTACCTTTTTATACATCTAAACATTTATTTAGTTAATTCTTTTTGTAGTCTCATTAACAATAACTTTTGAGTTTCTCTGAAGTTTTCTACTAAATGTTTACTTTCTGATTTTGATTTTCACTCAAGTAGAATCCAGTGTAGTTAAATGTGGCAATAAATTATTTCTACAGTATAACATTGATTTAGTTCAGGCTGCTATAGCAGCTATATCATAGCCTGGGTGTCTTAAACAACCAGTATATATTGCTCAGTTTTGGAGTGTAAGAAGTCCAAGACTGAGGTGCCAGCAGATCCTGCACCTAAAGAGGACCAGCTTCCCTGAGTACAGATGTCTAGCTTCTCATTGTGCTCTCAGAAATAACAGAAGCAAGCTCACACTCCTATCTCTTTTTACAAGGGCACTAATCTCATTTGTTGAGGTCCTCCATCCTCAGGACCTGATGACTTACCGAAGAGTCCAAGTCCAGGTACATCACATTAGGGATGTGATTTCATGTATGAATTTTATGCAAACACATTTAGTGTATAAAAGAGGATATTCATTCGGTGCACATCAAGCATCTTGCGAAGGTTTTCTTTCATAGGATTTCAGAACATCCCAGCCTGAAATTTTGTTTCCAGCCTAAAAAGGTTAAATTGGGGATCAACAAGAGTCCAGTAGTAAATATCTCAACCTTTATGGGCAGTGTGTCAAAACTATTCAACTCTTAAGGATGAAAACAGCCAATGACAAAATATTAGAGATGACCAGGGCTGTGTTTAGCTTAATTATGAAACAGGTGATGAGCCAGATTTGGCCTACAGGCCATAGTTTGATTACCTTTAACCATTTATTCTCAGGCTAATGTAACTTTTTAAAATAGAAAATAAAAGATGGTATAAATTCATTTATTATATTTCCATTTTTAATTACTTCATTTTAATCTATTTTTCAGCTTAACATGAATTATATGACCCTGAGCCACTGGACTGTTTTCATAATTACATTTGCCATAAGTTCTTACTAGCCAACACACTTAATCAATTGTGTGTTACCAGGGGAGATGGTAAAAGGTAATTTGAGATACTAATTACTGCGTAAGGATAGGTATTAGTTAATAGTCAATTCACACTTTTATGCAGCTAACTCTACCTTACTATGCAGCACATTTTATTGTATTATTCCTGTTCTTTGAGCACTTAACCTTGGATTCTGAACCTATCATTTGGATTGAGAATTCTTTTCTCCTTTCATTCAATTTTTTTTTTCTTTTGGAACTCAAACTACTTAAGTAAGTACCTCACTTTTCATAGCATAAGATTAAATGTATCAGGCCCAATGCAATGGCCTAGTTGGCTAGCTCCTCACCTTGTGGGCATCAGGATCCTATGTGAGCACTGGTTCATGTCCTGGCTGCTAAACTTCCCATCCAGCTCCCTGGTTGTGGCCTGGGAAAGCGGTGTTGGATAGCCTAGGACCTTAAGACCCTACCTCTGAATGGGAGCCCAAAGAAGGCTGCTGGCTCCTGGCTTGAATCGGCTTAGCTCCAGCCTTTGCAGCCACTTGAGGAGTGAACCAATGGACAGAGGATCTTTCTCTTTTTCTCTCCTCTTACCTTTATATCTACCTTTCCAATAAAAAATTTTAAAATCCTTTTTAAAAAGCTTTTTTAAAAAAGATTCAATTTATCAAATCTTAATCCCTTACAAAGCCATTTTGCAAAGTTTCTTGTATCATACCTTCTCCAACTTTGAGGACATAAACTGAGAATAAGCATTGAGAGTTGATACTGTAGAGTTTATTATCAGTATTTTAAACTCACATGTTTTAGAAAGGTATGAGGGAACATATTAGGGTATCTTTTTCATTCCATGTGAAATTATTATTCTTTCTGTATTATGATACATTCAACACATATTATTTCCCCATACACATGGGGGATATATTTCAAGACCCTCAGTGGATTCTAAAAATGATAGACTACAAAATTCCATAAGTAGATAAGTACTGTGAAACCAGGGCAATCTGAATATCAAGATGGCTTCCAAATGACTAAAGGACCAGGGCACAGTATATATATGCTGGACAAATGAATAATAAATGACCCAGCACAAGTTGTACCATGCTATTCAGAGGCAAACAATTTGAACATTACAAATAGTTTATTTCTGGAATTGTCCATTTAATATTTTCAGACTACTGTTTGTTCCAGGTAACAAAGTCCACAGAAAAGAAAACCAAGCAAAGAGGAAATGAGTCTACTACCCATCCAAGATATAATGCTAAAATCTCATGAAGTCTTTTGAGCCAAATCTGAGGGTCTTATGCCAGTTCCTGTCAGGTTAGGTTCTCTTGAATTCAATACTGTGATAGTAGTCTGTCCTCAAATTTTATTATCCCTAGAATGTGGCTTTCTCTCTTCTTGCATTGAATTTGAATTTTCAGTGTCCCCTTTCAGGGGAAAACAAATCTTCCCTTTTTATCTGCTACTAATCATTCCACAATTCTCTTTGCCTTCTAAATTATCTTTTCAAGGAAGGTTTCCAATTTTATTTTGTATTTTAATAGTGTTTGAACCTGACACAATGCTTTGATCTGTTTGCTAATCTAATCATAACATTTTACCACCTGAATGATGATCACTCCAACTGAAAATCCCAAATACAGTTTTTTACATTTTCAGAGTCATCACCACTTGTATTTAGTTACCCATCAAACTTCTCTAAAATCAGAACTGTAGCAATAACTTTTCTGACCTCTTGAGGAAAGTGATCTGTTTAATATTGTTCCATATCCCTTTTATAACTCAGCAACTTGCTAATAATAATAAAGCTTATTTCTCTGTTACCAAATTATTCAAAGCTATAAGTCCCTAATGAGATTAATGTATTTTTTCAAGACTTCACCATCTTCACTTTCCATCCTATAATTATGCATAAAAATTAAATCTAGTTTTTAAAATCATTCTCATTAACTCTCTACCATGTCCTTATGAAATCCCTTTCCATTAAATATATTATTTTCAATTTTGCCGTATTTATCAACATTAATCAAATATAAATATAATAAATGTAGCACTGCTCCCTTTTCTCTGTCGTCACAGTGAAGCTTTGATCAAGCAAATTCACATACATAAAAGTTTAATTTCTCTATATTCTGAGATGAGTAGTATATTGTAACAGTCAATAAGCTGAATAGTTTACTAAACATTAATAACTGAATATAATTCCAGTAACTCATTCAACAGGTACTTATTGAACACCTGCCAATGCTTGCCAGTGTTCTAGACACTGAGAATTTAGCAATGAACAGTGTGAAACTATGTTAAGACAGTATTGAATAAGCCAGAGAAATAAGACAGTCTGTAGGACTTGGTTTTAGTAAACCAGACAAGCTTGAACCCCTAGAGCTGTGCTATTTGTTCTTTGGTAGCCACTTGCCACATGAGACTATTAACTTTGATTTTAAATTAAATGAAACTTAAAGATCAGTTCCTCAGCTAGCTACATTATACATCCTAAATAGTCTCACATGATTAGTGGCTATTATATTTGACATGTAGATATATGGAATATTTCTGTTGACACAAAGTTTTCTTGGGCAACACTCCTCTAGAGATAATAAAAACAGGGAAAGTTCTGAGCCCATCCAAAATTAATATTGTGTTTTAGGACAGGTTGTTCTCCTCAATTAGGAGCTAATGAAGAGCTAATGAAAGTTCCAGAAAGACACCAAGTTCCAAAAGCAAAAGAGCAGTTAGCTTATTTGTTTGACCTAAACTACTCCTTAAAATATTCTAGGAAGCCTAAAGTATACAGAATTACTCTGAAATAAACAGCACAGGTACCTAATGCCTGCTCTGCCTATGTCAGTTTTGAAGAGAAGTTGTGGGAGTTTGAACAACTATAGTTTCCTACCTGTTCCCCTTTTCAAAAAGCTCATTTTTAAAACTCAACGCACTTATAGAAGGGAATGTCAGAACTCACTTTAACCTGTTCTGATATTTTCCTCATTTTAGATTTTTAGATACTAAACATTTTTACTGTGACACTAGACAAGAGATTGTCTAATACAGATTGTAAGCTCTCAGAGAGCAGGGAGCAAAAGTTTACTGAATTCTGGATCCCTCCTAATTGCTAGCCTCTCATTTTGTAACACTCTGATTAGTATACGTTCTCCAAGTATCAGTAAATATTGGTTGATGTTCTACACTCATCTACTCTTACTCTTTTTTTCTGTTCAGTCTTTCTGATCTGTATTTTCTCTTTACTTAACAGACAGTGTGGAGCATTCATTATTAAGACAATTGGGCAGCTCTAGTCCACCTCAGCTGATCTCTAATCCAATGATCCTTGTGTGACCGAAATCCAGCTTCAACGAACCAGCTAGAAGCTGCCCGTTGTGAAATTTAGGGTTAGTTAATACATCACTATACACTGTCTAAATTTGATGAAATTTGCCTTTTTCAGCTGTTCTACAAAATTATTTAGGTAGATGTGACATGTTGATACTTTTAATGTGTTAACCTAACTATAGTGACATTTTCTACGACATGTTTTATCCATTCCATAAATAATCACATTGGGAAAAGTGAGGTGTCTTTCATTTTTTTGGCTTTGTGTTCTTTTCTTCTCATACTTACATATATATTTCATATACTTTCATATTTTAATCTTTAAGAATAATTTCTATCAGACTTTTTTACTACTTTTGTATCTTTTAGAATATGGTAGGTTAATTTAGCCTTAATGATTTAGTTCTACTACTTTGCTATTTACTGTTTTTTCTTTTATTTACTTGTTTCTGCTACTTATTTTTCTTCCAGTTTTATTTAATTTAGAAATACCTTCAACATAATCAGCATTCTTAATTTTACATGTGATTAATTGGATAATATTGAATTTTTTCTGCTTGAGGTGATACTGCAACCCTCCTATAACTCAATCTGATTGGTTCAAAATGTTGTATATTGTGGATCCACCTCATGGAATTTTAGTAAAAGAAAAGCTCAATTCTAATGTGACTTCAAAACACTGATTGACACTTCACAGTGTTAGTGTTCTTTAAACACCTTTTCTTCTTACCATGTAAGCAATGTATTTAGTTACCTGTATCATTCACTTTTGAAAGAACAGTTGTTTCCATAAAATACAATATTATTTTTACACCAAAGGAAAACTTTATTTTCTGGTTCTAAAGTCAGTTCTTATACAATTGGTTAAGCAAAAGAACAAGCCCTTGCTCAAGTTACAGAGTAAACTGAGTTTTTCATCACTAAAAAATCTGTAGTTGTACAGAAAATATCCTTTTTATAATCGTTTATAATTATTTCGCTGACTTCTCACTTGTAGAATGGAGGGGAACCATAAGAATGGGCATTACCTTAGGAAGTCTATCTCTTCCTTCTCCTGATCCAAACTTTCAAGTTTATTCTGTGCTTAGCAGCAGAGTTATAAGACATGGACCCCCAAAGTTTTTCCTAATGAGTCAAATAGAATATTTTCTTTTGAAACCATAATTACTATGTCAAGTGGTTTCGTATATAAGCATACAAATATCATATGTACATTAGTTATTCTTAGTATGAAAAATGCAACTCCCACAATAAAATTTCAAGATTTTGTTCTGTATGAAAACATTATTAACCACTGACATTACAAATCTTAACAGCAGTAACCTTAAGAACAAAACAGTTGATGCTTTGATTTTCAAAATGTTAAACATGATGATAAACAAAACTCTGACTGTTAATAAATTAATGATGCATTACTGGGGAAGGAATTTTGATAACAGTTGATATGGAATTGTGTTTATTTCACAGAGCTACTCATTACATGTAGACAAATTCAGACACACTATATATATGTGCACATATATAATTCACAGTCTATGCTCTCTCAAAATTTAGCTTCATTTTAAAAAACTAATAAAAACATGGAATTTATTAGCAATATTGTTATATGGAAGATATCCTCCAACCTTCTTCATGGCCTTGCTTGATAGGGGACAGAGTCTGAGTTGCAGGCTGCTGGCTTTGGTCTAGGCCTGGGCCAGACCCTGCTGTTTTGGACATCTGGGGAGTGAACCAGCAGATTGATGCTCTCTGGTTTGCTCTGGTTGCTCACTCTTTCAAATGAATAAAAATTAAAACCCAACAAAGTATTTCCCAAAAATAGTTTTGTCCTAGCCAAAAACTATGAGTCATTTTTAAATCCATCACTAAAATAACATCTTAAATGTCTATTTTAATCCCGGAAACATCTAAGAGTCTGAATCAGAAAATATTTCAATTCTAAGGTAAATTATGACAAACATCTTATTCATGTTTTTATCAGATAATCTTAGTATAAACTCCCAAACTCTGGAATGTTTTTAGATTGTTCATTGAAATTTTTCCTTGGAAGTATTCCTCCAGTCATCATTCTAGGAAATATAGAATGAGTACAAGGTGAGAAGAAAAGGATTTTAAATAATCCCAGATAAACTTTAGTCCCTCTAATAGCAGTAGTCAGCAATAGCCTATACCATTACATGTTCATACTCAGATAATATAGCTCATTTCCATGTGCATTTGAAAGCATGAAATCCATCAAGAAAAAATAAAATTTTTCTTCCTTCCTTCCTTCCTTTCCAGTATTCTTGCTAATAACTACTGTCTAGGTACTTCTCATTCATTACACAGACCTTCCTTGTAGTATTTGGTGTTTTGGGAAAGGGTTATTCTATTCTGATTTTTTATACATAAATACTAATTACAGATACCAGATTCAAGCCACTTTTTAAGGCTAATAAAATTTTATGTAATCCTAAGATATATGAATGCTTATGATAATTGTCTACAGAAGCCCACTTAACTCAAAAATTGTGCATAAAAATTGTATTAAGCATAATCAGATGCCATTGGAGTGAATTTACTCATAACTGGCTTTAGTAGCTGTCTTTAATTTATTATAGTACTTCATGAATGTTTTTATGGTTGGAAGATTATTTTGTAGCTTCATAGAGTATATTGAAGTGCTATAAATAAACTGTATAACTGAATAATTTAAAACATTTTTAACCCTACAAGCATCTAGATCTGATATACCATTAAGAAAAGTACCCATTGTTTTTATTACTTAGTACTATTCTATCACTGGCAAGATGTTTCATTGTTGGCAAACATTCTGAACCTTGGTAGATCAACCTAAATCATGGAAATTATGAATATATATATAGTCTGACATGCCTTTTTAGAGAAAATTTGCTTTTTGATCTTTTAAGCCAGTTTATTTTACCCTAACTATATAGAAATTGCTAATTAAGCTTGTAGAAGAACTATTATCAATTTTGGTATTAACTTGTTGTTAAACGCAAGCTTGGCAATTGATTTGACCTAGGTGCTACATCAAGGTTTTCTTCTGATATAAATTCAACCTCCTCAATGTCTGCATACTTCTAGAGTCACAATATTCATACTCAAATCATTTAAAGCAGGAAAAGCAAATGATGAGACTCAGGCAAGAGGATCTTGCCATACCTTAATGTTCTATGGTAGATATTTAGTCATTATGGATAACTTAGCTGAAACTTCCTATTCTGAACTGAAGAGCAAAACAATATCTCCAGCAATCCTTATAGTCAGCAGTGGGTGAAATACAAACCTATGTGTATATATATGTATGTATATGTATACATATATAGTCTGTTTACTGGACATTTTGCTTGGCAGGAGGATTAAAATGTTACTTCGTCAACATGAAGGTTGTATATTAATAATTCTCAAATCTTTCACTGACAGGTCATTATTTTGCCCACAGGCTCCAACTCTATTTTTGTATACAATATGTACATAAATCTTGTAACAAATCTTTGCCAAAGGTCAGAGATGCAAAAGGAAGTACAATTTAAAAATACCATTGGACATGCTAGCCTCACCTATTACAGTAAGTCTATTTTTATAGTTAGCATATATTAAAAAAATGAAAACACTAAAATAATGAAAAAAAACGATATAGCTAGCAGATGCCTCCCTGTCCAGCAGTACGTTATAGGATAACCTATTCTTTCTTTCTAGTGGAAATTTTCTGAATCCATGTCCAGTTAATCGTATTTTTTTTCCTTAAGTAATTGCATTCAAACCCTAATTTTGTTTAAATCTCTTAGTAGGAACCAAGATTACATTCTGTGAAAAGAAGCTTTCCCAACATTCATCTGTAGGTTTGAAACCTCGATACTCTTGAAGGCCACATTTTTATCCTAGGAAAGATTTTAGAGCAGCTGGCTCAATTCTTACTCTACTTTCCTCTACTGATTCTATTAAGTAGAATCCTAGATACTTATTTTATCCAATAATAGAGAGCAAGTAGCCACTATATGTGGTCTGGTAAAAAAAAAAAAAAAGAAGAAGAAAAATTTGGGGGTAATGTCTAGGGATAAATTTTGTGTGTTCATTTTTTCTTTTTTTTTTTTGCTTTTTTTCTTTTTTGCTTTTTTAAGAGAATATTAGCAAGAACTTTGGAGTGCAGGATAAAATCATGACTTAAGCAGTGTAAGTATCTAATCTGTAACAAATACATCAAAGGCTACAAGACATGTAGCTTGATAAAGTTTCAGAAATTTTAATCATCACATCACTGGTTGTCTTATTAGATGATAATCTCATACAGCCACCTAAAAATATCTTTGGTGTTTGGGTTTTCCAGTTACTTCGTTTTTATAGATGAGCCATGGTATATACAGAATGAACGTGGCAAGAAGCCACTTGTAATGTGATCTCATTCAAAAGTGGTATCTTGTTGGGAAGATAATATGTGAGAGCAAAATTTGGCTTCCACATTATTTTGGTTTAATTGTATTTAGGTTTATATATTTTAATCTCTATTATATGTTTTCAGTAAAGGAATTTCAAATTCTAAGTTTATATGATAAATTCTGGCAGGCATTAATACAAAATTGTGTGTATGCATATGTATATGTGTATATGTATATATACACATGTATATATTTATATGCGCGTACATATAGACATGTATGTATATATGTGTATATACACATGTATATACATGTATATACATATTTACATATACACACACAAATATATACAATTTCCAGAAATCTGTGGGTTTGGGCCATTTATTTTACACCAACTACTAAAATAAACTATTCTTAAATGTACTTAGAAGATTATCCTCTCTGGTCTGGACATGGCTGCAGTGTCCCAAAAAACTTTAAAAAAAAAAAAAAGATTATCCTCATATCTATTTCTTGCCTTCTTTTGTTCTTACAGCCCTCTTGTTCTTACATGAGCATAAAATTTCTTACAGCATTGTAGCAAGTATAAGCTCTAACTGTAAATATCATGTCAGATTTTATGCATATTTCTTTTAAAACAATGACACTATATTCCTTTTCCTCTTCCATTCAGTCAATTTGTAAGGTTTGTAGGCATTTTTTTCAAAGTGTTAGCCTTAACTGAATAAAATTCACCCATATTTCAAATTTTAAATGCAAAGAAGCTATGATTGCCTCTTTCATAGAATTGGAGGTTGGTTTTTTTTGTTTTGTTATTGTTTGTTTTGTTTTGTTTTTTCACTAAAAAAA